TTCACATGAGGGCGGCTGCTTGCGTTGTGGCCGAAACGTCGTGAGAATTATTTTATTATGTTTTATTATTTTATTATTTCCATTCTACGTGACTTTACCGAAATAACCAAGAAGAGGGTTACACCTGCTGTGGTTTCCCACCTGATGATTATAGTTTGTGTTGCGATCGAAACGTCGTGATTTATTTAATTTGATACCGACGTGACTTTACCGAAATAACCAATAATATGAATCCCTGCAGTCACGAAAGCGTTAAATCAAAAGTATAGTATGTATTTTTATTTGGTTCTTTCGGTAAAGTCACGTATAAAGATAAAATAATAAATTAAATAATAGCATACGACGTTTCGACTGCAACACAAGCAATCATCATCATTATACCTGATGATGATTGCTTGTGTTGCAATCGAAACGTCGTATGCTATTATTTAATTTATTATTTTATCTTTATACGTGACTTTACCGAAAGAACCAAAGAATAATTCCTGCAGTCACGAAAGCTCCAAAATTAAGTATAGTATGTGTTTTGTTTGCATTCTGACCACAAGTATTGTGGTTAATGCAGACACGATTCCTTGTAAAAGGTTTCAGTGTGGTGTTTTAACATCTTAACACAACTGTTTTGTTGGCAGAAAAAAGGGGAAAACTTATTCTAAAGAAATGAGTTTGCCACTCATAATGATGATTTATAAAAGTGCACAGCTCCCAGCGGTCTCCTACCGTCTCAACGCAGAGGCGTTCCAGACGGCCGCAGAAAGAACGCTTCCCCACACCTACCGAGCCAAGCCTTGATTGTAAAACTTCTGGCGTTTATGACTTTGTCGGACGGGTTTAATGCCGCCGGAGGTTTTATTACGATGCGGCATGCTGACGAGGACCCCCCCCCCCTACCAATTTACCCCGCCACGTTTAAGACACACACACGCGGACCAGGGTGCGAGATGGAGGATAAATTTCAGGGGGTATTTATTGATACCCCCCCCGATTCCAATCTCCGAGACCACGCAAAGAGAGAGAGAGAGGAGAGAGATGTCACTCGGATGATTTGGGAGGGACGCTATGAGCCCCCTATTCAACCCTATGGGTGCCTCAGTCTGGCTCTATGATCCCCTATTGAACCCTATGGGAGCATCAGTCTGGCTCTATGATCCCATATTGAACCCTATGGGAGCTTCAGTCTGGCTCTATGATCCCCTATTGAACCCTATGGGAGTCTCAGTCTGGCTCTATTAGTTTCATATTGAACCCTATGAGAGCCTCAGTCTGGCTCTATGATCCCCTATTGAACCCTTTGGGAGCCTTAGTCTGGCCCTATGAGCCCCTATTAAACCCTATGGGAGTCTCAGTCTGCCCCTATGAGCCCCTATTGCACTCTATGGGAGCCTCAGTCTGACCCTATGATCCCCCTTTGAACCCTATGGGAGCCTCAGTTTGCCTCTATGATCCCCTATTGAACCCTATGGGAGCCTCCGTCTGACTCTATGAGCCCCTATTGAACCCTATGGGAGCCTCAGTCTGGCTCTATGAGCCCCTATTGAACCCTATGGGAGCCTCAGTCTGACTCTATGAGCCCCTATTGAACCCTATGGGAGCCTCAGTCTGGCTCTATGAGCCCCTATTGAACCCTATGAGAGCCTCAGTCTGCCCCTGTGAGCCCCTATTGAACCCTATGGGGGTCTCAGTCTGCCCCTATGAGCCCCTATTGAACTCTATGGGAGCCTCAGTCTGCCCCTATGAGCCTCTATTGAACCCTATGGGAGCCTCAGTCTGCCTCTATGATCCCCTATTGAACCCTATGGGAGCCTCAGTCTGACCCTATGAATCCCCTATTGAACCCTATGGGAGTCTCAGTCTGACCCTATGATCCCCTATTGAACCCTATGGGAGCCTTTATCTGGCTCTCTGAGTCCCTATTTAACCCTATGGGAGCCTCAGTCTGGCTCTCTGAGTCCCTATTGAACCCTATGGGAACCTTAGTCTGCCCCTATGAGCCCTGCAGTGAACCCTATAAGAGCCTCAGTCTGGCTCTCTGAGTCCCTATTGAACCCTATGGGAGCATCAGTCTGCCTCTATGATCCCCTATTGAACCTTATGGGAGTCTCAGTCTGACTCTATTAGTTTCCTATTGAACCCTATGGGACTCTCAGTCTGACCCTATGAGCCCCTATTGAACCCTATGGGAGCCTCACTCTGCCCCCATGATCCCCTATAGAACCCTATGGGAGTCTCAGTCTGACCCTATGAGCCCCTATTGAACCCTATGGGAGCCTCACTCTGCCCCCATGATCCCCTATAGAACCCTATGGGAGTCTCAGTCTGCCCCTATGAGCCCTATTGAACCCTATGGGACTCTCAGTCTGCCCCTATGAGTCCCCTATTGAACCCTATGGGAGCCTTTATCTGGCCCTATGAGCCCCTATTCAACCCTATGGGAGCCTCAGTCTGGCTCTCCGAGTCCCTATTGAACCCTATGGGAGCCTTAGTCTGCCCCTATGAGCCCTGCAGTGAACCTTATAAGAGCCTCAGTCTGGCCCTATGAGCCCCTATTGAACCCTATGGGGGTCTCAGTCTGCCCCTATGAGCCCCTATTGAACTCTATGGGAGCCTCAGTCTGCCCCTATGAGCCCCTATTGAACCCTATGGGAGCCTCAGTCTGCCTCTATGATCCCCTATTGAACCCTATGGGAGCCTCAGTCTGACCCTATGAATCCCCTATTGAACCCTATGGGAGCCTCAGTCTGGCTCTATGAGCCCCTATTGAACCCTATGGGAGTCTCAGTCTGCCCCTATGAGCCCTGCAGTGAACCCTATAAGAGCCTCAGTCTGGCCCTATAATCCCCTATTGAATCTTAATTTTAGAACTTTCGTGACTGCAGTAAATGATTATTTGGTTCTTTCGGTTAAGTCACGTCTAAAGATAAAATAATAAATTAAATTAAATAATAGCATATGACGTTTCGATTGCAACACATACATAGAGGGAGCAATGATTTTCAGACTTGCTTGCCGTGTCATCGCACTTGCAGAACCTTGTTTTTGGACCACTCATTGATATGCAAATGTTTTCTCCAACCCCCTCCCTCTCTCTGCCTCCTCCCCCCTCTGTCTATTTAAGGCCACCCCACAGAGATGATCACCCCTCTCTGGTTCCTGTGTTGCTCCCTCTATGTATCTTGGTGATATCTGTCTGCTAATATGTCTGTCTATAGTTTTCTGGTTAGATTTTATGTCGCTATTTCATTATACCTGATGATGATTGCTTGTGTTGCAATCGAAACGTCGTATGCTATTATTTAATTTAATTTATTATTTTATCTTTAGACGTGACTTAACCGAAAGAACCAAATAATCCCCTATTGAACCCTATGGGAGCCTCAGTCTGGCCCTATTGAACCCTATGGGAGCCTTAGTCTGCTCCTATGAGCCCTGCAGTGAAACCTATAAGAGCCTCAGTCTGGCCCTATGAGCCCCTATTGAACCCTATGGGAGCCTTAGTCTGCCCCTATGAGCCCTGCAGTGAACCCTATAAGAGCCTCAGTCTGGCCCTATGAGCCCCTATTGAACCCTATGGGAGCCTTAGTCTGCCCCTATGAGCCCTGCAGTGAAACCTATAAGAGCCTCAGTCTGGCCCTATGATCCCCTATTGAACCCTATGGGAGTCTCAGTCTGGCCCTATGAGCCCCTATTGAACCCTATGGGAGTCTCTGTCTGCCCCTATGAGCCCCTATTGAACCCTATGGGAGTCTCAGTCTGGCCCTATGAGCCCCTATTGAACCCTATGGGAGTCTCAGTCTGGCCCTATGATCCCCTATTGAACCCTATGGGAGTCTCAGTCTGGCCCTATGAGCCCCTATTGAACCCTATGGGAGTCTCAGTCTGGCCCTATGATCCCCTATTGAACCCTATGGGAGTCTCAGTCTGGCCCTATGATCCCCTATTGAACCCTATGGGAGTCTCTGTCTGCCCCTATGAGCCCCTATTGAACCCTATGGGAGTCTCAGTCTGGCCCTATGATCCCCTATTGAACCCTATGGGAGTCTCAGTCTGGCCCTATGATCCCCTATTGAACCCTATGGGAGTCTCAGTCTGGCCCTATGATCCCCTATTGAACCCTATGGGAGCCTCAGTCTGGCCCTATGATCCCCTATTGAACCCTATGGGAGTCTCAGTCTGGCCCTATGATCCCCTATTGAACCCTATGGGAGCCTCAGTCTGGCCCTATGATCCCCTATTGAACCCTATGGGAGTCTCAGTCTGGCCCTATGATCCCCTATTGAACCCTATGGGAGCCTCAGTCTGGCCCTATGATCCCCTATTGAACCCAATGGGAGTCTCAGTCTGGCCCTATGATCCCCTATTGAACCCTATGGGAGTCTCAGTCTGGCCCTATGAGCCCCTATTGAACCCTATGGGAGTCTCTGTCTGCCCCTATGAGCCCCTATTGAACCCTATGGGAGTCTCAGTCTGGCCCTACGATCCCCTATTGAACCCTATGGGAGTCTCAGTCTGGCCCTATGATCCCCTATTGAACCCTATGGGAGTCTCAGTCTGGCCCTATGAGCCCCTATTGAACCCTATGGGAGTCTCAGTCTGGCCCTATGATCCCCTATTGAACCCTATGGGAGTCTCAGTCTGGCCCTATGATCCCCTATTGAACCCTATGGGAGTCTCAGTCTGGCCCTATGATCCCCTATTGAACCCTATGGGAGCCTCAGTCTGGCCCTATGATCCCCTATTGAACCCTATGGGAGTCTCAGTCTGGCCCTATGATCCCCTATTGAACCCTATGGGAGCCTCAGTCTGGCCCTATGATCCCCTATTGAACCCTATGGGAGTCTCAGTCTGGCCCTATGATCCCCTATTGAACCCTATGGGAGTCTCAGTCTGGCCCTATGAGCCCCTATTGAACCCTATGGGAGTCTCAGTCTGCCCCTATGATCCCCTATTGAACCCTATGGGAGTCTCAGTCTGCCCCTATGAGCCCTGCAGTGAAACCCAAGAATCCGAAAGTCCACGTCCATCGCTCAGCCGACCGCTTCACGCGCGATGGAGTCCGACTGGGAAGACATTCGCAGGCTCGCAGCGGACCTGCAGCGAGTTCAGCTGACGGACACCGCTCAAAGGTGAGCGATTAGCAACTGTGCGGTTTACGTAAATTGCTTTTTAAAACTTTCAATATATTATTACGATAACGGTTAAAATACGCTCGAGGCCTACTAGGCCGCGGCTAAGTCCCCGCCGTTGTCTAGATATTTCCCCGGGAGACGGGTGCGTTTTCCGGGGCAACGATCTAGGCGAGGGTCGGTGTCAATGTTACACCCGTACGCTGCTGTGTTTTATGGTTATTTATTTGAAATTTTTATGATGTATAAGTTTGTGCTGCGTTTATGCTGCGTGTGCTACGAGACGCGTGTGCGTGTCCGTATGTTTTTAAATGTTTTGGCTGGTGACGTGTTGATGTTGGAAGCATATGCTGTGACAATTAGGGTAATCGTGCTCCATTGAAACGCATGGGAAGCAATTGACACTAATTCTTTCGCGATCAGTATCATCTACAGTAGAGGTTTTGTTGGGTTTAGATCGCGTAAATATACAACGTGTGTCGTTAAACCCGCCACCACTCGGCACAGCCAATTAGTGAAGGCTTGTCACGTCAATATAACGTACAAATTCGTTACGAGTACAGCACACCGGTGTGGCTAGGAGATGTTAACTACCTCGCATGGTATACAGGAGGTCGTGGGTTCAGTCCCGATCCTCACGCCTGCTGCTGTATATTTGTAGTTTGCGTCTCTCTCTCTCATCATCATCACAGTGGCTGGGAGATGTTAACTACCTCGCCTGGTCTACAGGAGGTCGTGGGTTTGATTCGGACCCTGACGATGCCTGCTGTATATTTGGAGTTTGCGTCTCTCATCATCATCACGGTGGCTAGGAGATGTTAACTACCTCGCCTGGTGCGCAGGAGGTCGTGAGTTCGATCCCGACCCTGACGCCTGCTGCTGTAGATTTCGAGTTTGCGTGTCTCTCTCTCTCATCATCATCACAGTGGCTAATGGTGATGTGAACTACCTCGCTTGGTGTGCAGGAGGTCGTGGGGTAAATCCCGACCCTGACGCCTGCTGCTGTATATTTGGAGTTTGCGTGTCTCTCTCTCATCATCATCATCACGGTGGCTAGGAGATGTTAACTACCTCGCCTGGTATACAGGAGGTCGTAGGTTCAATCCCGACCCCGACGCCTGCTGCTGTATATTTGGAGTTTGCGTCTCTCTCTCATCATCATCATACGATGGCTAGCAGATGTTAACTACCTCGCCTGGTATACAGGAGGTCGTGGGTTCAATCCCGACCCTGACGACTGCTGCTGTATATTTGGAGTTTGCGTCTCTCTCTCATCATCATCATCACGGTGGCTAGCAGATGTTAACTACCTCGCCTGGTATACAGAAGGTCATGGGTTCAATCCCGACCCCGACGCCTGCTGCTGTATATTTGGAGTTTGCGTCTCTCTCTCATCATCATCATCATCACGGTGGCTAGCAGATGTTAACTACCTCGCCTGGTATACAGGAGGTCGTGGGTTCAATCCCGACCCTGACGCCTGCTGCTGTATATTTGGAGTTTGCGTGTCTCTCTCTCATCATCATTATCACGGTGGCTAGGAGATGTTAACTACCTCGCCTGGTATACAGGAGGTCGTAGGTTCAATCCCGACCCTGACACCTGCTGCTGTATATTTGGAGTTTGCGTCTCTCTCTCATCATCATCACCACGGTGGCTAGCAGATGTTAACTACCTCGCCTGGAATACAGGAGGTCGTGGGTTCAATCCCGACCCTGACGCCTGCTGCTGTATATTTGGAGTTTGCGTGTCTCTCTCTCTCATCATCACAGTTGCTAATGGTGATGTGAACTACCTCGCCTGGTATACAGGAGGTCGTGGGTTCGATCCTGACCCTGACGATGCCTGCTGCTGTAGATTTAGAGTTTGTGTCTCTCTCTCATCATCATCACGGTGGCTCGGAGATGTTAACTATCTCGCCTGGTATACAGGAGGTCGTGAGTTCGATCCCAATAGCAATGGTAGTGCCTGAACCAGGCTGGGATGAGATGATGGGATTTTTGATTGCAGCTCCATCGGGCAGCCAAAGTGATCCAAAGGAACCCTTTGGATCACTTTGGCTGCTTTGTTTTTGTATCGGGTAACTTGCGCAGAGCAACGCGACTTCATACTGAAGATTTCTCGGTATTCGATCACCTTCATGAGAATGATCACGTCCCCCCTCCATTACAGACGGACAGACGACAGACGGAGACACGGGCAGACAGAGCTAATGCATAAACTCTTTCAGCCTACCATGAAACAGGTTTTTAGGGGATAGATCGCGTAAATATAAATGTGTCGTGAAACCCGCCCCCACCCGACACAGCCAATTAGTAAGGGGTGTGTCACGTAAACAGAACGTGCCAATTAGTTACTAGATCAGCACACCGGCGTGTTGTACTCGAATTGTAAACGTTGTAGTGGGTTTACTCTCCAACACACAACCGGTTAGTGCTGAACTAGTACACTACACTATACACTACACGATACACTACACTATACACTACACGATAATTGTAAACGTTGTAGTGGGTTTACTCTCCAATACACAACCGGTTAGTACTGAACTAGTACACTACACTATACACTACACTATAATTGTAAACGTTTTAGTGGGTTTACTCTCCAATACACAACCGGTTAGTACTGAACTAGTACACTACACTATACACTACACGATAATTGTAAACGTTGTAGTGGGTTTACTCTCCAATACACAACCGGTTAGTGCTGAACTAGTACACTACACTATACACTACATGATAATTGTAAACGTTGTAGTGGGTTTACTCTCCAACACACAACCGGTTAGTGCTGAACTAACAACTAACGGGCCACATTTTGTTCACGTGACAAACCCCTTACTGATTTGGCTGTGTTAGGTTGTGGCGGGGCCTTGAACGACACATTTCTCTTGACGCGATCTCACCCAAAAAACATCTTATGAGTGTACTACATCTTATAGAGCGTAGTACTGAGGCGGCCCTTTTCAAGGTTACAAGCGATTTGCTCGAATTGTAGACCTTGTGGGTTTACTCTCCAACACACAGGTGAGTGCTGAACGAGTAACCAATCGGCACCTTTTGCTTACGTGACAAACCCCTTACTGATTGTCTGCGTCGGATGGCGGCGGCGGCGGGTTTAGCGGCACATTTACACTTACGCGATCTAACCCAAAAAAACCTCTTGTGAATGTATTACATCTTGTAAAGCGCAGTACCGAGACTGCCTTCGTCAAGGTCACAAGCGATTTGCTCACGGCTGCTGACTCTGGCGCTTTGTCCGCACTTGTTCCGCTTGTTCCCGAGTGCAGCATTTGACACTTTTTCCATCGTTGTTGTGGCTGCTGTGTTGAGGCTGTCGGAGCGATGCGTTGTGGAGCTGGTGGGTCGGCTGCTGAAGGAGAGGCGGTTGATGCTGATTCATTCCCGCGATGGCAAAGACATCCTGACCCTGGATCAGCTGGAGAGGGAGATCATTGATGAGGTCCATGCTCACGGAGGTGGGGACACTGCCTACACGATAACCTCAAACCCAACAACACAACTACAACGTCAGCTACCTAACCAGCAACTCCACCACCAACACCACAACACCAAATTTTCCAACCATTCAATAGATTTAACGCCTAATCATCATCATCACCCCCTACAACAGCTCCACCAATACTAATGCCCGCCATTCACCACTAAGTGACGGTGACATCACCAAGGCGCCTGTGCCAGGCCAGGTCTACTTTGAGGCCAAGTGTCGAAGGCTCGCTGACGGGATGTAACGGCACAGACCGAGGGAGTGCCGTGGGTTGACTGACTTTGAGATGACTGGCAGATGCACCACCTGTGCCCCCTACTGCACCAGCAACAGCACTTCATGCATCACCCACATCGCTATCATCGTCGTCACCAGTACCACCACCAATACGACCATCACAACCAGTGCTATCATAAACCACCAACACAGGCCATCATCACCATCATCCTCACCAGTACAGCTACCCGAACCTTTTGGGGACTCAACACATTAGTCAATAACACTGCGGCCTTGGAAGGAAAGCTCTATAATATTCAGCAGCCCTACTTCATCGCACATAACTAGAGAGGCCAGATGGTTGAACTGAACCTGTCCTGGGCCTCCCCTCGGTCGACTTGGCCTCAAATAAGTACCTGGTGCGGTGCGTAAACATCGCTGCTAGGGAGACATAGGCGGCCGGGCGTGGTGCTGGCCACCCACCCACCCCCCTCGTGTGCCTTGCCGGCCTTTGTAGGTGCTGCTCGCAAACAGCACTTGCCCCAACAGTCTGTTAAGGCTACACAGATGATCGTTGTCATTTTTGTGTTCTGTGCTCACAGGCCGTGCGAACCTGCCTGACCTTCAGCAGGTGAGTGTCCATCTTCTCCCCACACATTTCAACTTTGTGATGTGACCGGAGTGGCTCACAGGTCAGAGACAATGAGCTGGCTATGCTGAGAACTCCTGAGTTAAAAACCTGGGATTTAAGTCACCCGTGATTATAAACCGGGTTCTCAAGCGTCGCGAGTTGTTAATTTCGGCCCAATCGCCAGCAACTGGCCGCCCCCGGTGGCTAGGAGATGTTAACTACCTCGCCTGGTATGCAGGAGATCGTGGGTTCGATCCCGACCCTGACGATGCCTGCTGCTGTAGATTTGGAGTCTGCGTCTCTCTCATCATCATCACCACGGTGGCTAGGAGATGTTAACTACCTCGCCTGGTGCGCAGGAGGTCGTGGGTTCGATCCCGACCCTGACGATGCCTGCTGCTGTATATTTGGAGTCTGCGTGTCTCTCGTCATCATCATCATCACGGTGGCTAGGAGATGTTAACTCCCTCGCCTGGTACGCAGGAGGTCGTGGGTTCGATCCCTACCCTGACACCCGCTGTATATTTTGAGCGGATCCTCCGGTGTTTCCCTCCACATTTAGAATCAACGTCACGCGCTCAGAGTATTTGGCTGCTGTAAATTTCAGCAGGAGTTCTCCTTCTGCGTTTGTCTCACCTGATGACGGCCGCTTGTGTTGCGATCGAAACGTCGCGATTTATGAATTTTCTACCCACGTCACTTTACCGAAAGAACCAAAGAGTATGGATTCCTGCAGTCACGAAAGCTTCAAATCAAGATTCTTTTAATTGAGCGTTTCTTCCGATCCCTTTTGCCGCGGCGTACGTGCACGGCATGACCTGTGCGTGTCGCCCGCCACCTCTCTCCGCAGCTGCTCAACGTCGACGTGTGCCACATCGAGGCCAAGGCCGTGGACATGTGTCGCTCGGACAAGGAGTTGACGCTCATCCTGGGACAGATCTTACACAGGTGGGTGCCACAACCGCGCTCCACGCATCCCCGCGGCATCGACCGGTGCCTCGATGATTTGAGCGCGAGGGCTGGCGACTACTGGTGCCAGATGCGCCAAAGGTCGTAACCGGGTACCCGATACCCGTACCCTACCCGATACCCGGCTACCCGTATCCGGCCGGGTACGGGTACCCGTTTGCGACCCTGGTGCGGCCGGGTACGTGCAAGCCATGGGTCACCGGTGAGTCACCGTTTGTCACTCATTTCTCAACGTCTTGTCTCTTCTCACAATTCAAGTTCCTAGAATCAACCCACCCGCGCCTGCAACATGGCTTCATCCCAGAGGTCGCAATCGGGTACCCGATACCCGTACCCTACCCGATACCCGGCCGGGTACGGGTAGCCGGGTATCGGGTAGGGTACGGGTACATTGGCAAAGTGTGGGGGGGGGGGGGGTGGAGGCTTCGTGATGTAATATTTTTACCGTGTGCAGCTCGTACCTGGACCGGATCGGCGAGGACGTCAACGATCGTCTGCAAGAGGCCGGGTTTGTCAACGTCTCCGAACTCTGCAAAGTTTACGATCTCCCGACGGACTTCCTGACCGAGGTGAGCTCCGTTTACAGCGTGCGCGCGCGTTGCGTTTGTGGAGCCCATCGGCAGTTCCGTTAAAGAATAACAATGATAATGGACGACGAATTTTATGCTGCGAGGTCTCTACTTTCTGCCCTGCCTCCTTCCCCCCCCCCCCCCACTTCTCTCTCCCCTCCCCCCTACTGCCGAGGCCTACACTATACACTACACTATACACTACACTATTATACACTGCATTATACACTACACTATACACTACACTATACACTACACTATACACTACACTACTATACACTACACTATACACTACACTATACACTACACATTACACTACACTATTATACACTGCATTATACACTACACTATACACTACACTATACACTACTCTAAAGACTACACTATACACTACACACTACATTATACACTATACACTACACACTACACTATACACTACACTCTACACTACACACTACATTATACACTCTACACTATACACTATACACTACACTATACACTACACTATACACTACACTATACACTACACTATACACTACACACTACACTATATAACCTCGTGCCACGCCTACTTCCGCAGTTTCTTCTCGCTTTGGTTGTCCCACCTGATGACGATCGCCTGCGTTGCGATCGAAACGTCGTCATCCATTATTTTTCTACCCCATGTGACTTTACCGAAAGAACCAAAAAGTATGGACATTGATAGCGCCAGATTGTTGCAGACAAGCCAGCAACTCGGAGGCGTTATTAGCTTGTCTGGGGGGGGGGGGCGCTGCTCGAAAGCCGTGACCCACACAGAGAGATGAGGCCTGCAGATGTCGGAGTGCATTCGACGTTGCAGATGTACACAGGGATAGCCTCCTCCCCCCTCCCCCTCCTCCTCCCCCCTCCTCCCCCCTCCTCCCCCCTCCTCGTGTCGCCCAGCGTTTCCCAATGAACTCTTTTGTGACCGTGCCTGCTTTTCCCTTCCCGCGTCTCCCCTTCCCCGTGTCTCCCTTAAACTCCCCGTGTCTCCCTTCCCCTTAACACCTCTCTCAATCCTCCCCGTGTCTCTCCTCGCCGTGTCTCCCTTAAACTCCCCGTGTCTCCCTTAAACTCCCTGTGTCTCCCCTCACCTCCCCGTGCCTCCCTTAAACTCCCCGTGTCTCCCTTCTCCTCTCCTTAACACCCCTCTCGATCCCCCTCCCCTCCCCTCCCCGTGGTGTCTCCCTCCGTCTCTCGCCGCGTGTGCGTGCAGGTGCTGCGCGAGCGCCTGGGCTCGCTGGTGTCGGGGCGAGGGGACGCGCTTGACCTGGGCGTCGTCTACACGGACGCCTTCGTGTCCCGGCACCGCGCACGTATCCGGGGCCTCTTCACCGCCATCACGAGGTCACCCTGCGCCGCCCCCCCCCCCCCGCGCCGTGCCGCGCCCTAACAAAAGCACAGATCGCCAATAGAGCGCAACCCCAGAGTTCAAAGTTTCTTTATTAGGTATAGCCCTGTGAGCCATTCGGCTCTCGAATCGGGTGCAACCGCAACAAACAAAAAAACATGAACAAGAAAACATCTTAAAGTGACTATGTGACTTAGTGCAGAAAATCCAAGAAAAGACAGCAAAATATTGCAGAAAAAGCACCGTACACCAACGCTGTGTGCAAATATCCCAGTGGGATGCAAGTCAAACAACAACAACAACCACAAGACAACTTAGATTAAGGCCATCAGTCTGACTCTGTACTACAACAAACAAACATGGCCAAACCAAAAAACTTTTCGAAAACCACCAAAATAAAGTCATAAAAGCAATGAAACAGTGGTCATAGGAACTGTGACCGAATTTTCACAATTAACGACGTAAACAACATGTACCACAAAACTCTGCAGCCATAGCTGGCTGCATGAGTCACTCCACAACAGCAGGAGCATCAGTCGGAGTATCAACATTTTTCAATGCACCTTTAAGATCGGCATACTAAATCAAAACACAGATCATACTTTGCATACTTTGCAGCGATCATCCGGAGCGAAACATTGTATTTTAGAGATCTGCGGCGAGCAGTTGGGAGATCGGAAGATCTTAGAGTACCCATCTTCTTGGTTCTTTCGGTAAAGTCACGTAGAAGGGAAGTAATAAAAAATACAAATATAACATAATAAAATAATTCTCACGACGTTTCGGCCACAACGCAATCAGCCGTCCTCTGGTGAAGACCAGGTCTGTCGGGGAGACAGCGTCTGAATGTTTCGGACGCTGTCTCCCCGACAGACCTGGTCTTCACCTGAGGACGGCTGCTTGCGTTGTGGCCGAAACGTCGTGAGAATTTCGATTTAAAGCTTTTGTGACTGCAGGGATTCATCTTCTTGGTTCTTTCGGTAAAGTCACGTAGAAGGGAAGTAATAAAACAATAAAAATAAAACATAATAAAATAATTCTCACGACGTTTCGGCTACAACGCAAGCAGCCGTCTTCAGGTGAAGAACAGGTCACCTGTTCTTCACCTATTTTATTACTTCCCTTCTACGTGACTTTACCGAAAGAACCAAGAAGATGAATCCCTGCAGTCACGAAAGCTTTAAATCGAAATCTTAGAGTACGTAGCCAACCGCGTTGATCGGATGCGCGGTGAAAGGCCATCAACACTGAAAGCAACAAGCAGTTTGAGATTAGTCCGTAAGCGTGGGGTGTGTGCGGTGTGTCTCTCGCTATGTGGGTAGTGGCGGTGGATTGGTTCACGCTAGGAACTAACATCGATTTCAGGTCTCATCTTGCGATGGTCCTGGGCGTCCGCCTATACACTACACTATACACCACACTATACACCACACTATACACTACACTGTACACTACACTGTACACTACTATACACCACACTATACACTACACTATACACCACACTATACACTACACTATACACTACATATACACTATACACCACACTATACACCACACTATACACTACACTATACACTACATATACACTATACACCACACTATACACCACACTATACACCACACTATACACTACACTATACACTATACACCACACTATACACCACACTATACACCACACTATACACCACACTATACACCACACTATACACCACACTATACACTACATATACACTATACTATACACCACACTATATACCACACTATACACTACACACTACATTATACACTACATATACACTATACACTACACTGTACATTACACTATACACTACACTATACACTACACTATACACTACACTATATACCACACTATACACTACACACTACATTATACACTACACTATACACTACACAACTGGTTAGTGCTGTACTAGTAACGCATTGGCCACGTTCTGTTTACGTGACAAACCCCTTACTGATTGGCTGTGTCGGGTGGTGGCGGGTTTGACGACACAACATTTATATATTTACGCGATCTAACCCAGCAAAACCTCGAGTGTGGAGTACATACGACAGTCCGGCCTGAAATGGGCGTGTGAGAATCAAAGATTTACGTAGGCTAAACTCGGGGCCTTTGTGCGTGTGTCTCTCTCTGCAGGCCCACGAGTGTCCACAATTTGATCAACCAGTTCGGGTTTCAGGAGCGATTGTTTTACAGTGAGTCTACACACCCACGGATGTACACGCACATGCCAAGACAAAGATCCCCCGTGTAGCCTTTAACAGACTGTTGGGGCAAGTGCTGTTAGCGAGCAGGCCGGCACGGTGCATGAGGGGGTGGGTGGCCAGCACCACGCCCGGCCGCCTTTGTCTCCCCAGTGGCGATGTTTGCTACACACCGCATCAGGTACTAATTTGAGGCTGAGTCGACTTCGGGAAGGCCCAGGACCGGTTCAGATAATCGTCACTGGTGTTGGCCGTGAGCGGGAATCGAACCCACGACCTCCTGCACACCAGGCGAGGTAGTCAACATCTCCTAGCCACCGTGATGATGATGAGAGACGCAAACTCCAAATATACTACGGCAGCAGGCATCGTCAGGATCTTGGTCCCTGTGGCATCTCCTGTACCCTTGCCCCCTCCCCCTCCCTCTAGCCGTGCTGGAGGAGTTGGTGAAGGCCGGGCGGCTGAAGGGCTCCCTGGTGGGTGGCCGTCGCGAGCACTCGGTGTTCGTCCCCCAGCTCTACGCTCGCACCCAGAACCAGTGGGTGGACAACTTCCTGAGCCTCAACGGATTCCTGGGTACGGTCGTGCCGCCCCCCCTCCCCCTCCTCCTCTCTCAACACGCCTCGTGGTGCCTCACCACCTTTCCTCTACTTTGCACAGCTGTCGTGTGTCTTCGTATCGTTGTGTTGATGTTCAGACTCCGTGCCCCCCTACCAGCGGTGGCTAGGAGATGTTAACTACCTCGGCTGGTGTGCAGGAGGTCGTGGGTTCGATTTGGACCCTGACGCCTGCTGCTGTATATTTGAAGCTCGCGTGTCTCATCATCATCATCCCAGTGACTAGGAAATGTTAATTACCTTGCCTGGTACGCAGGAGGTCGTGTGTTCGATCCTGACCCTGACGATGCCTCCTGCTGTAGATGTGGAGTTTGCGTCTCTCTCTCTCATCATCACCACGGTGGCTAGGAGATGTTAACTACCTCGCCTGGTGTGCAGGAGGTCGTGGGTTCGATCCCGACCCTGATGCCTGCTGCTGTAGATTTGGAGTTTGCATGGCTCTCTCTCTCTCATCATCACGGTGGCTAGGAGATGTTAACTACCTCGCCTGGTACGCAGGAGGTCGTGGGTTCGATCCCGACCTTGATGCCTGCTGCTGTATATTTGGAGTTTGCGTCTCTCTCTCATCATCATCACAGTGGCTAGGAGACGTTAACTACCTCGCCTGGTATACCCTACCGCCTGCCGTGCATAGCAATGGCCAGCGACTGCAGCAGAGGCACGCACAGGAGGGGGAGCGCTGACGTCCACATGTCTCATCCCGACCCTAACCAGAGCTGGAGGCCCTGTCCAGGCTGGGCATCCCAGACCCGGACGGCTGGGTGCGCCGCCGCTACGAAGGCGCGGGCCTGGTGCGCCTCGCGACGGCCTACGTGCGGCCCTCGCTCATCGACGCTGTCCACGCCGCGCTAGACGAGGCCTTGGCCACGGGCACGTGGGTCGACGTGCAGGTGCGGGGGCCCCACGCTCGTGTCACCGTCCAGCCGTCGTCGCCAATGAGTCAGCCACCCAGACCCATAGAGGCCTACAGAGACCCACAGACACCCAGACCCATAGAGACCCACAGAGACCCAGACCAATAGAGACCCACAGACACCCAGACCCATAGAAACACCTATAGAGACCCACAGACACCGAGACCCACAGAGACCCAGACCCACAGAGACCCACAGACACCCAGACCCATAGAGACTCACAGAGACCCACAGACACCCAGACCCATAGAGACCCACAGATACCCAGACCAATAGAGACCCACAGACACCCAGACCCACAGAAACACCTATAGAGACCCACAGACACCCACAGACACCGAGACCCACAGAGACCCAGACCCATAGAGACCCACAGAGACCCACAGACACCCAGACCCATAGAAACACCTATAGAGACCCACAGAGACCCACAGACACCCAGATCCATAGAAACACCCATAGAGACCCACAGACACCGAGACCCACAGAGACCCAGACCCATAGAGACCCACAGAGACCCACAGACACCCAGACCCATAGAAACACCTATAGAGACCCACAGACACCCACAGACACCCAGACCCACAGAGACCCACAGATTAGCACGGTTGGCTACGTACGGTGCAAAAGAAGTTCAACATACATACACACACAGAGAGCCACAGACACCCAGACCCATAGAGACCTACAGACACACACAGAGACCCACAGACACCCAGACCCATAGAGACCTACAGAGACCCACAGACACCCAGACCCATAGAGACCCACGGAGACCCACAGATTAGCACGGTTGTTCATGTATGTTGCGATAGAATTTCAACATATGTACATAGGCTTTTCGTGACCAATATTATTCATAATACAGTGTTTTTTTTGGGTTAGATCGCGTAAATATATGAATGTTGTGTTGTTAAACCCGCCACCACCCGACACAGGCAATCAGTAAGGGGGTTGTCACGTAAACAGAACGTGGCCAATTCGTTTCTAGTGCAGCACTAGAGTGTAGTGTATAGTGTAGAGTGTGTATTGTGTAGTGTGTGTAGTGTATAGTAGTGTAGTGTGTAGTGTATAGTGCAGTATGTAGTGTAGTGTATAGTGTAGTTTGACGACACGACATTTATATTCACGTGATCTAACCCAGGAAACCTCTAGTCTGGAGTACCTACCACAGTCCACGTGAAAAGTCCCCACTCATCCCCTCTCCTCCCCCCGTGCCCCCCCTCTCCTCCCCCCATGGCCCCCCCTCTTCTCCCCCCATGCCCCCCCCCTCTCCTACCCCCTCTCCCTCCTTCTCTCCTCTCCCCGTGCCCCCCCTCTTTCCCCCGTGCCCCCCCTCTCCTCCCCCCGTGCCCCTCCCCTCTCCTCCCCCCTCCTCCCCCCTCTCCTCCCCCCCCCCCCCCACCGTAGCCGCTGCTGCCCTCGTCGCTGAGCCCGGCGGACGTTGAGGGGGTGTTGCGGTCGTGGGCGGGGGGCGGCCGGGCGGCCCCCGCCCACGTGGTGCTGTGCGGCCGCCTCGTCGCTTCCGCCGACTTCCTCAACTCCTGCCTGGAGCTCTTCCAGGAGAGCGTCCGTGCACACGCGTCACAGGTGGGCGGGGTGGGGGGGGAGAGGTGTGGGGGGGGGGGGAGGAGGGGTGTGGGGGGGTGATGGGGAGGAGGAGGAGGAGGGAGGGATGGGGGAAGGGGGGAGGTGTGTGGGAGGGGGGTGATGAGGGGGGAGGGAGAGAGGGAGGGAGCTGAACATCTGTGCCCACGTGTTGGCAGAGGGGCGGGGAGGGGGGTGAGGTGGAGGAGGACGGTTGGCTACTTACGGTGCTAAGGAAGCCCAGCGTACATGCACGTACTTACACACACGTACTTACACACGCGTACACACGCGTACACACGCGTACACATACGTACACGCGTGTACGTACACACGCGTACGTACACACACACGCGTACACACATACACATACGTACACACATACACATACGTACACACACGGACACACACGTACACACAAAGACAAAGGTCCCCCGTATAGCCTTAACAGACTGTAGGGGCAAGTGCTGTTAGCGAGTAACACCTATGAAGGCCGGCACGACACACGAGGGGGTGGGTGGCCAGCACCACGCCCGGCCGCTTTTATCTCCCCAGTAACGATGTTCACTACACACCAGCTACTCATTTGAGACCGAGTCGACCTAGAGGAGGCCCAGGACCGGTTCAGACAAAAGTCACCAACGGCATTGGCCGTGAGCAGGAATCGAGCCCGGGTCGCCGGGTTCATAGCGGAGGCGAAGCGCTAACCGCTGCACCGCCGCTCCCCGTTGCCGCAGGAGGCGCTGCGAGCCCCCGCCCTGGTGATCTCAGAGCAGCAGCTGCTGTCGCTCTCCTCCTGCGCCGCGTCCACGGCGCCAGCCGAGCAGGGAGACGAACGGCGGCGGAGAGTGCACGGTAGGTACGCACGCACGCACGCACACACACATGCACACACACACGCACAGACACATGCACACACACGCACACACGCACGCACGCGCACGCACGCATGCACGCACACACACACGCACACACGCACGCACACACACGCACGTTCCGTGTGTGTGTGGCTGTGGGTCTCTGTGTGTGCGTGTCTCTCTGTGGGGGGCTGTGGGTCTTTGTGTGTGTGTGTGTCTGTGGGTGTCTGTGGGTCTCTGTGTGTGTGTCTCTGTGGGTGTCTGTGTGTCTCTGTGTGTCTCTGTGTGTGGGTGTTTCTGTGGGTGTCTGTGGGTCTCTGTGTGTGTGTGTGTGCGTGTCTCTCTGTGGGTCTATGTGTGTCTGTGTGTGCGTGTGTCTCTGTGTGTGGCTGTGGGTCTCTGTGTGTGTGTGTGCGTGTGTCTCTGGGTGGCTGTGGGTCTTTGTGTGTGTGTGCGTGTGTCTCTGTGTGTGTGCGTGTGTCTCTGTGGGTCTCTGTGTGTGTGTCTCTGTGGGTGGCTGTGGGTGGCTGTGGGTCTCTGTGTGTGTGTCTCTGTGGGTGGCTGTGGGTCTCTGTGTGTGTGTGCGTGGGTCTTTGTGTGTGTGTCTCTGTGGGTGTCTGTGGGTCTCTGTGTGTGTGTCTCTGTGGGTGCCTGTGGGTCTCTGTGTGTGTGTGTCTCTGTGGGTGACTGTGGGTCTCTGTGTGTGCGCGTTGAACTTCTATCACGCGCACGTAGCCAACCGGAGGTGCTCGTTCTGCAGGTCGCACGCAAATAATCATGATAGTACAGTAATGCCGGGGTTTACGTCACGGAAGCGTTTCTGAAAGGTGTGCAAATGATTATCACTAACGACGTAAACGTTAGAATCAACATCACGCGTTTCGAGTATTTGGCTGCTGTAACTTTCCACGTGAGAGGCCACGTGGTTTGAGTGCTGTCGCTTCTGAGAAAGAGCTGCCACACAGCAGATCAGTGGGGGCCTTACCTGGTCAAATACAAAATCGTTGAGTTTTTAGTTTAAACTCCCTGTGTCTCCCTGCCACTCCCCATGTTCCCTCCCTCCCTTCATTCATCCCCTTCCCCCCCCCTCCTCTCCCCTCCCTCCCGCCCCACCTCCCGCCCCTCCCTCCCTCTCTCCCTCCCCTCCCTCTCTCCTCCCCCCATCCTCCACTCCCCTCCCCACCTCCCCCCCCCTCCCCTCCCTCCCTCTCTCCCTCTCTCCCCTCCCCTCCCTCCCCTCCCCTCCCTCCCCACCTCCCCACCTCCCTCCATCCCTCACCTCCCTCCCCTCCATCCCTCCCTCCCCACCTCCCTCCCCACCTCCCTCCCGCCCCTCCTCCCCCACCCCTCCCTCCGCCACCAACCCGGCGTCTCGCTCAAGACACGAAGGCGTCGCGCGGCAACGCTCGGGAGGTGAAGACGAAGAAGCAGCAGAAGCGTCCCCGCGGGAAGGGAGACCCCAACGACGACGACGACCACCACCAGCACCACCAGGCCTCGGGTGAGAGGCACTCTCGCCAGAGGTAGCAAACGGGTTTTGATTCCTTACCCGTACCCGTACCCGGCTGCAACAGGGTCGCAAATGGGTACCCGTACCCGGCCGGATACGGGTAGCCGTTCCTTACCCGTACCCTATCCGAAATGAGTGACAAACGGTTACTCACCAGTGACTCACGGCCTACCCGTACCCTACCCGAAATGAGTGACAAAAGGCTACTCGCCAGTGACTCACGGCCTACCCGTACCCGTACCCTACCCGAAATGAGTGACAGACAGCTACTCACCAGTGACACACGGCCTAACCGTACCCTACCCTACCCGAAATGAGTGACAAAAGGCTACTCACCAGTGACTCACGGCCTACCCGTACCCGTACCCTACCCGAAATGAGTGACAAACGGCTACTCACCAGTGACTCACGGCCTACCCGTACCCTACCCTACCCGAAATGAGTGACAGACAGCTACTCACCAGTGACTCACGGCCTACCCGTACCCGTACCCTACCCGAAATGAGTGACAAAAGGCTACTCACCAGTGACTCACGGCCTACCCGTACCCGTACCCTACCCGAAATGAGTGACAAACGGCTACTCACCAGTGACTCACGGCCTACCCGTACCCGTACCCTACCCGAAATGAGTGACAGACAGCTACTCACCAGTGACACACGGCCTAACCGTACCCTACCCTACCCGAAATGAGTGACAAAAGGCTACTCACCAGTGACTCACGGCCTACCCGTACCCTACCCGAAATGAGTGACAAACGGCTACTCACCAGTGACTCACGGCCTACCCGTACCCTACCCGAAATGAGTGACAAAAGGCTACTCACCAGTGACTCACGGCCTAATCGTACCCTACCCGAAATGAGTGACAAAAGGCTACTCACCAGTGACTCACGGCCTACCCGTACCCTACCCGAAATGAGTGACAAACGGCTACTCACCAGTGACTCACGGCCTAATCGTACCCGGCCGCACCAGAGTCGCAAACGGCCGGGTACGGGTAGCCGGGTATCGGGTAGGGTACGGGTATCGGGTACCCGGTTGCGACCTCTGGCTCTAGCACGACGCGGGTCGTGTGCTTGTGGAGCGAGGGCGCGGCCTGGCGCATCGGGCCGGTCGTCTCAGTCGGTCGACCCCCACGGCGCCGAACCGCCGGGTCTGTGCCGTGACCTCCTGCCGGCGGCAAGCCTCGGAGACCGCGCGTGCGGTAGCCCCCAGAGTGCACCTGGCCTGGTACCAGTGCCGCGGTGACATCGCCGCCGCTTTGTGCTGTTGTTGTTGTTGTGCGTCCGCGTGTGCGTTTGTTCGCGTGTGCGGACAGCGCTACGCCGCGCTACGAACCCGGCGACCCGGGTTCCATTCCCGCTCACGGCCAACGCCGTTAGTGACGATTATCTGAACCGGTCCCTGGTCTCCCCTAGGTCGACTCGGCCTCGAATGAATACCTGGTGCGGTGTGTAGTAAACATGGCCACTGGGGAGACAAAGGCGGTCGGGCGTGGTGCTGGCCACCCACCCCCTCGTGTGCCGTTCTGACCTTCATAGGTGCTGCTCGCTAACAGCGCTTGCCCCAACGGTCTGTTGAGGCTACACGGGGGATCTTTGTCTTTGTGCCCAGGCGGCCGTGGGCACGCGCCCGCACCCTCGTACCCTCCACTGGCCGAGGTGAAGGACGTCCTGGCCAAGAAGTTCCCGGAGTTCGACAGAGACGCCATTGACGAACTGGCGGAGGAGTTGTCCCGGTACGCACGCTCACCCTCCCCTCACCCCCCCTCACCCTCCACTCACCCTCCCCTCACCCTCCCCCCTCCCCTCACCCTCCCCTCACCCTCCCTCACCCTCCCTCACCCTCCCCTCACCCTCCCCTCACCCTCACCTCACCCTCCCCTCACCCTCCACTCACCCTCCACTCACCCTCCCCTCACCCTCCCTTCACCCTCCACTCACCCTTCACCCTCCCCTCCCCTCACCTCCCCCTCACCCTCCCCTCACCCTCCAATCACCCTCCCCTCACCCTCCCTCACCCTCCCTCACCCTCCCCTCACCCTCACCTCACCCTCCCCTCACCCTCCACTCACCCTCCACTCACCCTCTTCTCACCCTCCCCTCACCCTCCCCCCCCCTCACCCTCCCCTCACCCTCCCCTCACCCTCACCTCACCCTCCCCTCACCCTCCAATCACCCTCCCCTCACCCTCCCCTCACCCTCCCTTCACCCTCCCCTCACCCTCACCTCACCCTCCCCTCACCCTCCCCTCACCCTCCACTCACCCTCCCCTCACCCTCCCCTCACCCTCCCTCACCCTCCCTCACCCTCCCTCACCCTCCCCTCACCCTCACCTCACCCTCCCCTCACCCTCCACTCACCCTCACCTCACCCTCCCCTCACCCTCCCCTCACCCTCCCCTCACCCTCCCTCACCCTCCCTCACCCTCCCTCACCCTCCCCTCACCCTCACCTCACCCTCCACTCACCCTCCACTCACCCTCCACTCACCCTCCACTCACCCCCCCCTCACCCTCCCCTCACCCTCCCCCCACCCCCCCCCTCACCCTCCACGCACCCTCACCTCACCCTCCCCTCACCCTCCACTCACCCCCCCCTCACCCTCCCCTCATCCTCCCCTCACCCTCCCCTCACCCCCCCCTCACCTTCCACTCACCCTCCCCTCACCCTCCCCTCACCCTCACCTCACCCCCCCTCACCCTCCACTCACCCCCCCCTCACCCTCCCCTCACCCTCACCTCACCCTCCCCTCACCCTCCACTCACCCCCCCCTCACCCTCCCCTCACCCTCCCCTCACCCCCCCCTCACCCTCCACTCACCCTCCCCTCACCCTCCCCTCACCCTCACCTCACCCCCCCTCACCCTTCCCCACCCTCCCCTCACCCTCCACTCACCCTCCCCTCACCCTCACCTCACCCCCCCTCACCCTCCCTCACCCTCCCCTCACCCTCCCCTCACCCTCCCTCACCCACCCTTCACCCCCCCTCACCCTCCCCTCACCCCCCCCTCACCCTCCTCTCACCCTCCCCTCACCCTCCCCTCACCCTCCCCTCCCCTCACCCTCCACTCACCCTCCACTCACCCTCCCCTCACCCTCCCTTCACCCTCCCCTCACCCTCCCCTCACCCTCCCCCTCACCCTCCCCTCACCCTCCACTCACCCCCCCTTCACCCTCCCCTCACCCTCCCCTCACCCCCCCCTCACCCTCCACTCACCCTCCCCTCACCCTCCCCTCACCCTCACCTCACCCCCCCTCACCCTCCCCCACCCTCCCCTCACCCTCCCCTCACCCTCACCTCACCCCCCCTCACCCTCCCTCACCCTCCCCTCACCCTCCCCTCACCCTCCCTCACCCACCCTTCACCCCCCCTCACCCTCCCCTCACCCCCCCCCCTCACCCTCCTCTCACCCTCCCCTCACCCTCCCCTCACCCTCCCCTCCCCTCCCCTCACCCTCCCCTCACCCTCCCCTCCCCTCCCCTCACCCTCCCCTCACCCTCCCCTCACCCTCCCCTCACCAGAGGTCGCAACCGGGTACCCGATACCCGGCTACCCGTACCCGGCCGGGTACGGGTACCCGTTTGCGACCCTGGTGCGGCCGGGTACGGGTAGGCCGTGAGTCACTGGTGAGTCACCGTTTGTCACTCATTTCCCAACGTCTTGTCTCTTCTCACAATTCAAGTTCCTAGAATCAACCCACCCACGTCTGCAACATGGCTTCATCCCAGAGGTCGCAATCAGGTACCCGATACCCGTACCCTACCCGTACCCGGCCGGGTACGGGTAGGGTACGGGTACGGCCGGGTACCCGTTTGCGACCCTGGTGCGACCGGGTACGGGTAAGGAATCAAAACATGTTTGCGACCTCTGCCACTCACCCTCCCCTCACCCTCCCCTCACCCTCCCCTCACCCTAGGCCGCTCTCCCAAGCCTACACCGCCGCGCTGCAGTCGGCGCTGCTGGTGGCGACGCAGGGTGAGCCGGGCGGCACGGGGAGCCAGCGGAGGCAGGGACGCAGGGACCTGCAGGAGGAGCTGTCGGCCTCCGTCGCCAACATCCGCTTATTCCTGCGGGGAGCCCTTCTGTTTCCTGGTGAGGGGCGGGAGGGCGGGAGGGCGTACGAGATGCCGCCAGGAGCTGTGGGGGTTTTGTTTGTTGTGGCCGTGTGGAACGGCATCGCGGCAGAGGACGCTGATACACGGTGGGGGGGGAGGGAAGGAGTTTGGGGGGACTTCGAGTTTGAGTCTTGTACTCTCAATTAATTCGTTACGGCGAACGCCGCGTTAATAAACACAGCGTAGGTAAAGTAGGAGAAGAGGTTTTTCCCTCTTCTTGGTTCTTTCGGTAAAGTCACGTAGAAGGGAAATAAAAAAATACAACATAATAAAATACAATTCTCAAATACAATTCTCACGAACGTTTCGGCCACAATGAATGAATTCAGATGCTGTCTTTCCGACAGACCTGTTCTTCACCTGAGGACGGCTGCTTGCGTTGTGGCCGAAACGTCGTGAGAATTGTATTTTATTATGTTTTTTTTTTTTTCCCTTGACGTGACTTTACCGAAAGAACCAAGAAGATGAATCCCTGCAGTCACGAAAGCTTTAAATCGAGGTTTTCCCCTGTTAAGATAGATTTGAAGCTTTCGTGACTGTAGGAATTACTCTTTGGTTCTTTCGGTAAAGTCACGTAGAAAGAGAAAATCAATTTCGATTTAAAGCTTTCGTGACTGCAGGGATTCATCTTCTTGGTTCTTTCGGTAAAGTCACGTAGAAGGGAAATAATAAAATAAAATGTTATTATTTTTTTTATTTTATTATTTCCATTCTACGTGACTTTACCGAAAGAACCAAGAAGAAGAAAATAAATTATTTAATAAAAACGCCGCGCTTCCTAAACTGTGGCAATCGCCTCGCCCAAGATGCAGGCTCCACGTGTCTCAGGCACCACGTGCTCCTTGTGATCAAGATGTCGTCCACCTACCGTTGTCCAACCGAGTTCTTTACTTTTTGTGCACTTTAAAATAAATCTGAGTTTATTTCCCGCGCTGTCACCGAACGGTGACCAAACCGAGATCTTACAACTCACCGCCGCCGCCCCGCAGATGACGTGCAGCCGAACCTGAGCCGCCACCTGCTCAAGACGCTGTGCGCAGACGTGGGGAACTCGGTGTTCGCGTCCCTCGCTTCGGACGCCGCCTCCGCGTCGTCGCCGGAGGCTGCCGGGCCCATCACTGCCGAGGTGACGCACGGCCGCGGTGGGAATGGCGGCGTTGTCTCCGCCACCATCGTCATCGTCATCGCCACCATCACCACCACCACCACCATCATCACCAACCCCACTACTATCACCACCACCATCGCCATCGTCACCACCATCGTCACCACCACCATCACCACCACCATCGTCATCGCCACTACCACCACTATTGTCATCATCATCGCCACTACCACCACCATCGTCATCGCCATCACCACCACCATCGTCACCACCGCCATCACCACCACCATCGTCATCGCCACTACCACCGTCATCGTCATCGCCACTACCACCACGGCCGCCACCACCACCATCGTCACCAACCCCACTACTGCCGCCACAACCACCACCGTCGCCAACGTCACCACCACCATCGCCACCGCCACCATCATCACTACCATCGTCACCAACCCCACTACTACCACCACCACCGTCCCCATCGTCACCACCACCATCACCACCACCACCATCGTCACCACCACCAACATCGTCACCAACCCCACTACTGCCGCCACAACCACCACCACCACCGTCGCCACCATCGCCACCACCATCGCCACCACCACCATCGTCACCAACCCCACTACTACCACCATCGCCATCGTCACCACCGCCATCACCACCACCACCACCACCATCGTCACCGCATCACTCACACCAAACGACAGCAGACCTGAGATTTTGACACAAATCTATAACTCGTACGTTGTGAGGCCAGCATTGTGAAGAGGTCTAATTGGTTCATTCACAGCGGTGCTGGCCACCCACCCCCTCGTGTGCCACAGTGCCGGTAGCCTTCATAGGTGCTGCTCGCTAACAGCACTTGCCCCAACAGCCTGTTACAGGCTATAAGGGAGACCTTTGTCTTTGTGTTCATAGGCGCTGCTGCTCGTTAACAGCACTTGCCCCACCAGCCTGTCACAGGCTACACGGGGGATCTTTGTCTTTGTGTGTTCATAGGCGCTGCTGCTGCTGCTCGCTAACAGCACGTGCCCCACCAGCCTGTCACAGGCTACACGGGGGAGCTTTGTATTTGTGTGTTCATAGGCGCTACTGCTACTCGCTAACTGCACTTGCCCCACCAGCTTGTCACAGGCTACACGGGGGAGCTTTGTATTTGTGTGTTCATAGGCGCTGCTGCTACTCGCTAACTGCACTGTGTGAAACGAAGATTCTCACCGATTGATTTCCGTTACTTTGGCGGCAGGGGCGGCTCAAAATCCTCGGGAAGGTGCCGGAGGACTTGCGCCGTCCACTCGTCAAGCTGCACGCCATGATGGGAGGCAAGGTACTGGCTGCCGGTGTTCATTGCCATCATTATCAGTACCACACCAAAACATCTTGCCCATCGCGGGTTCGTATGTTCGTGTGTATACGCACGTACATATACACAGGCGGTGCATCGGCCAGTCATCTCAGTGAGTCGTGGCACCTGGGTCCGGCCCGTGACCTCACGTGACCTCAACGTGCACCTAGCCTGGCACAAGCGCCGTGGTGGCGGTGCCGTCACCACGCCGACTCACCGGCAGTGTCAGAGCACTCGCAGCTCAGGGTGAGCGGCGATATCGTGAGGCCATGAACAAGGCTGTTGGTGTCTCTGCTGTAGGCCAATCAGTTTCAAAGAGAATGCCATGTCACATTTTAGTTAGTTTATACTGGTAGGAACCTCCTGGTTACACCAGCCCACAGGGGATTATTGTGTCCGTCCATCCGTCGTGCATCCAAAAATGGGAGGGGTGGGGCTGGGTGGGGAGGGGCTGGGTGGGGAGGGTGGAGCTGGGTGGGCGGTGGGAGGGGTGGGGCTGGGTGGGGAGGGGCTGGTCACCCCGTGGTGCCCTGATAAAACTCAACGTTTAACCTACTCACGACGGCTTGTGCCCGCCCTCAGTCGGCCATATTTGCGGAATGCACCACGCCGCCGTTGACCCTGGCCATTGACGAAGCAGCTCCCTCCGCAGGAATGTGTTTATATTCATGACATTGCCATGTAACATTGTAGTTACTTTATTATTAAAGGCAGTGCCATGTAACATTATCAGAGCAATGTTTGTACCGCGTGCGGTTAACACAAACTCGGTGATGCCTTTGCCAAAGCGATCTATTTGGTGTTTGAACGTCTTAACACAAACCCCTGTTTTATCATGGCCAGGAAGGGTAACAACCCTGTTCTTAGTTTTGCCTTCTCCGAAACTGGCAAAAAAGGTCCCGTGAACATCTTAGCGCAACTTCTGTTGTACTGCCAGGCAGGGTAAAACCCTCTTCTCATCTGTCACAAGTTCCGTTGTTTCTCCGTTGTCCGTCCCCCCGCGCGTTCCTGAAACTCCCTCCCGCGTTGCTTCGCTGCTGCGCCGTACCAATCGCCCCATCCTCACCCCATCGTTGCCCCTCTCCCCGCCCCTCTCTCCCTGCCGTGTGCACCGCCCTTTCAGAGCGTGGAGGAGTTCCTATCGTCTCTGGAGGAGGCCGCTGAGGCTTGTGACCTCATGATCAAGAAGGTGGACAGGAAACGGGAGAGGTGAGCCGGGTTCGTGGTTTGCGACAGAGACCCACGGGCATGAGAGAGGAGGAGTGGAGAGACCTTGTCACTTTTCTTACCCCTACAATTTAATTTTCCTTTCCCCGTTCGCCATATTGGGATTTCGAATGTAAAACAGCTATAGCTGTCAACCCACACGGTTTAGCCAGTATTTTTGTTCAAGGAAATTGAGTTTCCACTTCCATACGGCGTACAGCCGTTTCAATACAGGGGCAAAAATAATACTAAAAATTCTGTCTTTTTGTTTGTGATGGAACTTTGTAGGATGACCGTGGAGATTTATGAGGGGCACGGGGTGACCGATAAGATCTGAATTGGTCTGTGATAAGGTGGGGCACTGATAAGGGGTTGACAGCTATGAGGCAGTGCGTTGGAAGATCTCGGTTTGGTCACCGAACTGCACGAGAAAGAAAAAAAACGCGTCGGACCGGTACCGGTCCGTGGCCTGTTAGAAACCGGGCCTCACAGCAGGAGGGCGAGAGCGGTGAGTCCGTGTGTGGCCCCCCGCCTATTGTTTTATTTTTAACCAGGGGTGGGCCTGGGTGTGTGTAGTGTAGTTTGTGTAGTGTGTGTAGTGTAGTGTGTAGTGTGTGTAGTGTAGTGTGTAGTGTGTGTAGTGTAGTGTGTAGTGTGTTGTAGTGTGTGTGTGTAGTGTGTGTAGTGTAGTGTGTAGTGTGTGTAGTGTAGTGTGTAGTGTGTGTAGTGTAGTGTGTAGTGTGTTTGTAGTGTGTGTAGTGTAGTGTGTGTAGTGTAGTGTCTGTGTTTGCGTGGGGAGCGGTGATGTAGCGGTTAGCGCTACGCTGCACTCCGAACCTGGCGACCCGAGTTCGATTCCCGCTCACGGCAAACACCGGCGACGATTGTCTAAACCGGTCCTGTGCCTCCCCGAGGTCGACTCAGCCACAAATGAGTACCTGGCGCGATGTGTAAACATCGCCGCTGTGGAGACAAAGGCAGCCGGGCGTGGTGTTGGCGCCCACCCCCCTCGTGTGCCGTGCCGGCCTTCATAGGTGCTCGCTAACAGCACTTGCCCCTACAGTCTGTTAAGGCTACACGGGGGATCTTTGTCTTGTGCGGCGGTGCAGGCAGCTGCTGTTCCAGCACAGGCAGGCGCTGCTGGGGCAGCTGGGTACGTGCGAGGACCCGGCCCTGGTGCTGCACCTCACCGCCACGCTACTCTTCCAGCAGGCGAGGCAGGCTGCGCTGCACGCGCCGGGCCGCTCCGTGCCCAGCATCGTCGCCCACCTCCACGGAGTCATTCTCCCGGTGAGAGAGACTGCCTCCTTCTTTGGCACCATCCGTAGCCAACCGTGCTAACCTGTGGCTCTCTGTGGCTCTCTGTGGGTCTCTGTGGGTGTCTGTGGGTGCCTGTGGGTGTCTCTATGGGTCTCTGTGGGTGTCTGTGGGTCTCTGTGGGTGTCTGTGGGTGCCTGTGGGTGTCTCTATGGGTCTCTGTGGCTCTCTGTGGGTCTCTGTGGGTGTCTGTGGGTGTCTCTATGGGTCTCTGTGGGTGTCTGTGGGTGTCTCTGGGTCTGGGTGTCTGTGGGTCTCTGTGGGTGTCTGTGGGTGTCTCTATGGGTCTCTGTGGGTGTCTGTGGGTCTGGGTGTCTGTGGGTCTCTGTGGGTGTCTGTGGGTGTCTCTGGTTCTGGGTGTCTGTGGGTCTCTGTGGGTGTCTGTGGGTGTCTCTATGGGTCTGGGTGTCTGTGGGTCTCTGTGGGTGCCTGTGGGTGTCTCTATGGTTCTGGGTGTCTGTGGGTCTCTGGGTGTCTGTGGGTGTCTCTATGGGTCTGGGTGTCTGTGGGTCTCTGTGGGTGTCTGTGGGTGTCTCTATGGGTCTGGGTGTCTGTGGGTGTGTCTGTGGGTGACTCTATGGGTCTGGGTGTCTGTGGGTCTCTGTGGGTGTCTGTGGGTGTCTCTATGGGTCTGGGTGTCTGTGGGTCTCTGTGGGTGTCTGTTGGTGTCTCTATGGGTCTGGGTGTATGTGGGTCTCTGTGGGTGTCTATGGGTGTCTCTATGGTTCTGGGTGTCTGTGGCTCTCTGTGGGTGTCTGTGGGTGTCTCTATGGTTCTGGGTGTCTGTGGCTCTCTGTGGGTGACTCTATGGGTCTGGGTGTCTGTGGGTCTCTGTGGGTGTCTGTGGGTGTCTGTGGGTGTGTCTATGGTTCTGGGTGTCTGTGGGTCTCTGTGGGTGTCTGTGGGTGACTCTATGGGTCTGGGTGTCTGTGGGTCTCTGTGGGTGTCTGTGTGTGTCTCTATGGGTCTCTGTGGGTCTCTGTGGGTATCTGTGAGTGTCTCTATGGTTCTGGGTGTCTGTGGCTCTCTGTGGGTGTCTGTGGGTGTCTCTATGGTTCTGGGTGTCTGTGGCTCTCTGTGGGTGACTCTATGGGTCTGGGTGTCTGTGGGTCTCTGTGGGTGTCTGTGGGTGTCTGTGGGTGTGTCTATGGTTCTGGGTGTCTGTGGGTCTCTGTGGGTGTCTGTGGGTGACTCTATGGGTCTGGGTGTCTGTGGGTCTCTGTGGGTGTCTGTGTGTGTCTCTATGGGTCTCTGTGGGTCTCTGTGGGTATCTGTGAGTGTCTCTATGGTTCTGGGTGTCTGTGGCTCTCTATGGGTGACTCTATGGGTCTGGGTGTCTCTATGGGTCTGGGTGTCTCTATGGGTCTGGGTGTCTCTATGGGTCTGGGTGTCTCTATGGGTCTGGGTGTCTCTATGGGTCTGGGTGGATCTCTGTGTACGTATGGGTGTTGATCTTCGGCACCGTACGTATTAATTGGAGTTGCGGGGGAAGGACAACAAACTAAGAGCACCGGCGGCGGCTCGGAGATGTCATCTTCCTCGCCTGGTATGCAGGAGGTCGTGGGTTCGATTCCCAACCCTCTCACGCCTGCTGCTGTATTTGGAGTTTGGGTGTCTCTCTCTCTCACCGTGGTGGCCGCCACTCTGTTGAGCTGCCATCATTCATGATGGCTTCTGACAGAGAGCTGCACGGCAAACAGAATATAATAGCTTAAATCTTAACCTGAGGCTTTCGTGACTGCAGGAATTCATATTCTTTGGGTCTTTCGGTAAAGTCACGTCGATAGGTTCAAAGAAAATATTTTTCTTTTTTGTTATTTTTTTTCTTTGAGCCTTTACCGAAAGACCCAGAAAATAAAAAAAAGCTTATTAGTTTAATCTTCACCATTGGAACCTCCTTTGCCAGTAGCAAAATATGATTTTTAAAAATTACCCTTTTATCTGGCAACAAAACGGACGCCTTTTTAAAGAAAAAAAAGGTGTCAGTTTTGTTGCCAGATAAAAGGGTAAAAAAACAATTATCATCGTTAAATCTTGATATGAAGCTTTCGTCATCCATTCTCTTTGGTTCCCACCTTTTAAAACAGTCAGCCTCAGCAGCAGGCCACGCTTTCCCAGCTGATGACGGACGCTTGTGTTACACCGACGTGACTTTACCGAAAGAACCAACGAGTTTCGATTTAAAGATTTCGTGACTGCAGGGATTCATCTTCTTGGTTCTTTCGGTAAAGTCACGTAGAAGGGAAATAATAAAATAATATACGCTGCCAAGCCTGGTGGTGTTCATTCAGACGCTGCCTTTCCGACAGACCTGTTCTTCGCCTGAGGAATGGCTGCTTGCGTTGTGGCCGAAACGTCGTGATAATTGTATTTTATTATGTTTTATTTTTATTATTGTATTATTTCCATTCTACGTGGTGACTTTACCGAAAGAACCTAGAAGATGAACCAACGAGTATGAAGCTCTTTAGTGAGTTAATCCTCACAGATGTCCAGAACCTTTTGGCGTCATCTGGTCCAACCCATGTGAGACTAGGCTCTAAGGAAAGCTGTCTCGGGTGTGGACCAATCAACTTCAAGGACAGTGCCATACATTATCAGAGTTATGTCTTTTGTTTGCATTATGACTGCAGGTATTGTGGTCTATGCAAACATGACTCCTTGTAAAAAAAGGTGTCAGTTTTGTTGCCAGATAGAAGGGTAAAAAACCAATTAGCAGATGTCCAGAAGTTTGTCCTCCCTCTCCTTCCCTCCGTCCCTCTCCCGCCCCCCCGCCCCCCCCCACAGGACCACCACGCTCTGCTACTACGCTTCCAGTCGCTCGTCGTGAAGCTTCTCATTGGCCAGGGCAAGGGGGCGGAGTCGGCTACTGCTGCGGCGTCGTCATCGGCGGCGCTGCTCCAATCAGGATGCGGCTCTCGGGCACGCCCCCGAGGGGGACCAATCGGAGAAGGCGACAGCCGAGGAGCTGCGCTCCCTGATTCCCTCGCTCAAGGAGTTGGTGACAAAGCCCAGGAAGACGTCCGGTTCGGAGGCCTAGGGCCGGCCCGGGGGCTCTCCTCTTGGTGGGGGGGGGGGGGGCAGGCGGGGGGGAGGTGGGGGGGGGGGCCCTCGGTTGTGACGGCCGAAGCCGACGCGTCCGCTGAGAATTGTGGGTTTATAATTGAACCCCCTCGGCCGTTCCCGGTGGCAGTACACGTGCGGCCGGCTAACGTTGATCCTGCTTCCAGGATGTCCCATTGATTGATTGGCTTATTTAAAGAACAAAAGACCACGACCCCGAGGGAGTTTCGCGACTCGCCCGTGACGGGGCTTGTGCCTCGTCGGAACGGAATCGGACGCAACGAAAAACATTTAAAATAAAATAAAAAATTTAAATACAATTACATAATCGGCGCGTCTTCGGGGGGTCGTCGGACGTGCCGCCGCCACCACAAGTTTTTTGCGCGCCCGGCTCCCGGTTGAGAGTGATGCGGCGGTCGTGCCGCAACGGTTCTCTGCAGTGAGTACCGACGTCTTGATAAAAACAACGAGGCTGCCGCCGCTGCTACTGCTGCTACGCCTTCTCTCTCTGTAAAGAAAATTAGCGCCGAACCGCTTTCGTGCGTTCCCAGATTCGGCGGTGAATCGTTTGCACGATCCGCCAAAAACCTTGTTGGGTTACAGGCAGCACAGACAACCGCCACCGCCACCGCCACCACCGCCACCACCACCACCACCGCCACGACTGCCATCACCGCCATCACCGCCACCACCGCCGCCACGACTACCACCGCCACCACCACCATCACCGCCATCACCACCACCGCCGCCACGACTACCACCGCCATCACCGCCACCGCCACCACCGCCGCCACCACCACCGCCGCCACCACCACCACCGCCTCGCTATAAATACAGTAGACTCAATTATCCGCGTGCAGTTTATCCAATTTTCAGAAGCGACTTGGCTTCAAATGACAGCTCAACGCAGTGGCTTATCATCATCATCATGATGTGGAAATTTTTTTAGGCCAAATACTCTAAACGCGTGACGTTGATTCTTAATGTGGAGGGGAAAACCAGAGGACCTGGAGAAAAATCCACGCGACCACAGAGAGAGACACGCAGACTCTAAATCTACAGCAGCAGGCATTGTCAGGGTCGTGATCGAACCCACGACCTCCTGCATACCAGGCGAGGTAGTTAACATCTCCTAGCCACCGTGATGATGATGATGAGAGAGAGACGCAGACTCCAAATATACAGCAGCAGGCATTGTCAGGGTCGTGATCGAACCCACGACCTCCTGCGTATCAGGCGAGGTAGTTAACATCTCGCCACAATGGATGCCATGGTAGCGGGATAAGCTATAAAGTTCTTATTCACAGATATCCAGTAAAGAATCGTCTTTAGATGTCCATAAGAATCGGATTGATCCCTTTCGGGCAATAAAACAGGAAGTATGTTAAGATGTTCAAACTCCAAATATGTTCACACAAACATTAGAAATATTCTTTGGGTCTTTCGGTACAGTCACGTAGATAGGTTCAAAGAAAATAACAAAAATGAAAAAAAAGTACTGGTAGTTTTTTGTTAATAGAAAATTTTAAAAAATACTAGTAGTTTATTGTTATTTTTGTTATTTTATTTGAACCTATCTACGTGACTTTACCGAAAGACCCAGACAATTGAATTCTAGCAGTCACTGAAAGCTTTAAGTCTACACATTAGAAAGTCCGCATTAACCACAGTACTTGTGGCAAAAACATGCAAACACACATGCTCTGATCATGTATGCATTGTTTTTGAAACTGATTGGCCTGCACCAGAGACAGCCTTCGTTGCATACATCATTATCAGAGCGTGTGTGTCATTAGACCTCCTTTGCCAGTACCAAAATATAATAATAGGGTTTTTCCCCTTTTTTCTGGCAACAAAACTGAAACCTTTTTACGATGATTCATGTGGCGCATTAACCACAATACTTGTGGTCAAAATGCAAAAAAACACTGATAATATATGCATTGTCCTTGAAACTGATTGGTCCACACCAAGGGACGGCTTTCTTTTGAGCCTCGACCCAATTGGTGCTCGACCAGAGGACGCAAAAAGGCGTACAGCTCAAAGACAATGCACTTTCAAAGTAATGGGGGCTCGGGGTGAGCATCTACATCATTAGACCTCAACCGAGCCCTCATTACTTTGATAGGGTGGGATGCTGTAGCCGATAAGAGTGGGCCTGGCCGCTTTTTCTCAACTAACCTGAACACCTCCTCTGTCAGCCAGGGTTTCTGGGGAGGTCTGGACCGCGTACCCAAAGTAGCCATTGCCGCTGCATGAGTCACAGTCCTAAACCTCGCCCATTTACCCTCGACATCAGGAGGAGTGGGGGACGATGCCAACCCCAGCTGCAAGCGATTATGAAATTCTCGCTTGCAACTTTCATCAGCTGAGACCAGGCCACTTTAGGTTGGAATGGGGTCCTGGGTGTACACCCACCACCGGACTGGAAGAATGGCAGGCTTATCTTACCGATGACAAGTCGATGGTCAGAGGGCAGATCAGCTCCACACACACACACACTGACAATCACTGTGTGGTGGTGAGTCCGTGTGTCTGCGTGATGATGAGCATGGGTGTTAGTCTACGGCTCTCTGTGTGGTGGTGAGTCTGCGGGTCTCTGTGTGGTGGTGAGTCTGTGGGTCTCTGTATGGTGGTGAGTCCGTGTGTCTGCGTGATGTTGAGCGTGGGTGTTAGTCTACGGTTCTGTGTGGTGGTTGAGTCTACGGCTCTCTGTGTGGTGGTGAGTCTGTGGGTCTCTGTGTGGTGGTGAGTCTGCGGGTCTCTGTGTGGTGGTGAGTCCGTGTCTCAGTGTGATGATGAGCATGGGTGTTAGTCGACTGTGCTTCGCACGATGCAGTGACGCCGCTGCGAGGATGAGCGTAGTTTGCGTGATGTTTTATGTTCCTTGACGCGATCAGCAAGGTATTGTGGGCTTTGTCGTAGCGGCACACGCACACCCACCTAGTTTGCGCGTAGTCATGGTTTGTGGAATTTCTTAGGCGATTTTCTTCAACACGGGGCACTTTGATGTGCTTGTTATGTCGGATACAATCTTTTTTTCTTTTCCCTAAAAGCGATGTCGTTTGTGGCACCCGGATTCCGGATGCCAGTTGGTCGATTCGATTTGTTCTCTTTTGTTTTTTTTGTTTGCCCCTTTTGTTGGAAGTTGTCGCAGCAATATCACTCCGAGCATGCACTACGGCAGGTGTATATTCACGTATAATTGTTTCCTGCGGCAGAACACAACAGCAACAATCAGAATGATCAAAGATCCATTCAATCTTTTGGGTCCAGGCCTAGTCATCAGGTGGGACCGTCACAGCCAGATTTTCTGCATCAAGTGAGGGAGGGATTCAAGGTGTAAGCTCTAAAGTACCAGTTAAGGGGGAGGGGGGAGGGGCTTATCAGAATGTGGTAGCCAATGAATGGAACGTATCGGGAGGGGGGGCGGGGCTAACAGAGGGATGGGGTACTCGTTGTCGTGGTCAACGACGTGTTTGTGCGCAAGTCACTGTGGATGTACATAATGGAAAAGGAACGGCTGCTTGCGTTGTAGCCGAAACGTCGTGAAAATAATTTTATATTTTATTTTTATTATTTTATTATTTCCCTTCTAAGTGACTTTACCGAAAGAATCAAGAAGATGAATCCCTGCAGTCACGAAAGCTTTAACTCGAAATGTAATCGTTTTATCCTGATTGATACAACTCTGGATAACGAAGCTAAGCCTAATTATCATAACTGAACACATTAACATAATCGCAAGCATTCGCATAAATTAATATGATTATCTCCGTGATTATTAAAATTTATGCATTAGCATAATTTCCGCGAATGACGCATTTTTTAAAATTTTTATTAATTATTATTTTTAGCAAAATTTCATAACCCGACATATACAACAGGGTCTCCGCCGATGTCAAGTGAACGTGTCCGCAATAGAGACAAGTGTGGTGCCAAGTCGTCATTACAACTGGCATTACCTCTTCTGTGACCTCCACAGTCTCCCTGCGCACACACACAGGACACAAAAGACAAATTATTCCCACCGAAAACGAACATCCGTGGAGGGATGCAGGCAAAGCCGATGAGTCAGATGCCTTCTAAATCCCCCGAGCTAAATCCCCCGGAAGGGAGCGTACGCAGACGGACAAACAGACAGACAGACAGATAGACAGACAGACAGACAAAAAATGAATTATATAGGTTAGATTAAAATAAACGCTTAATATACCTTGCCACGCAAAAGCCTAAGGCTGTATACGAGGCGCTAACGGACTAGGCCTCAGTAACATTATAGTTGCGCGCGTCTCGTTAAAATGTAACTCTTACACGCGGCTACTCACGTTAATGTTAACGAAACGCGCGCACTTTATTTAATTTCAAGGTTTTAATCAAAAGCTATCTCAGGGAATAAGGGAATGTTACACGTGTCATGCCAAGTGTTTGCAGTAGGGGGCGATGTTTATACACGGAGGGACGGACGGACGGACGGACGGACAGTCGGACGGACGGACGGACGGACACATTAATCTATTGGTGGTCTGGTCCACTTCGTTCCTACCAGTAAAACTCAACGTTTAACCTACTCACGCCGGCTTCTGCCCGCCCTCACAGTCGGGCATATTTGCGGAATACACCACGCCGCCGTTGACCCTGGCCATTGACGGAGCAACCCAACGTTCCTACCAGCTCCCTCCGCAGGACAATGTGTTTAAATACATGCTGACAAACTGCTAGATGTTATTGACAGGGCTCCTCTAATGTATAGGTACTGTTTTCACAACAGGACAGCATATGCCCCTATGCATTTAATGTTATTATAACATTAACACACACTAATCATGGTAATAGGTGTGGCGCTGCAGGTTACTTTTTTGATGGAGTTAAATAGTGATTTGTGATCGCGGGCCACTGAGACAGACTCCATCTCCTCAGCAACCCGCGACCACCACCCATCGTTGCACGCCTTACGGCTCTCCGAACCTCCGAGCGAAGGCTGCGGTAAACCTCCTCATTCTCTGAAGTGGGATGCTGTAGCATCATTCTCGCTTGCAACTTTCATCAGCTAACAGAGACCAGGCCACTTTTGGTTGGAATGGGGTCCTGGGTGTACACCCACCACCGGAGTGGAAGAATGGCGGGCGCATCTTACAGATGACTAGTCGATGGTCAGAGGGCAGATCAGCTCCACGGTAGGTCCTGGTATCAAGGACATGGGCTCGCATCCGTCACTATGTAGTCCAGCTGATGTTCTTGCTTGGACCCGGCATGCATCCATGATGTTGTGCGGATGCGCCGATGCCGGAAGAGCGTGTTGGTACACACAAATCTATCAGCCTCCTACCGTTGTTATTGAGCTGATCTGGCCCATTTCTTCCAATTACTCCAGACCAGGTGCCAGCATCATGACCAACTCGGGCATTGAAGTCACCCGACAAGATGACTCTATCCCGAGGGGCCACTTTAGCCAGCACCTGTGACAGGAGGTCATAGAAGGCATCTGACTCATCGGCCTTGCCTGCATCCCTCCACGGATGTTTGTCTTCGGTGGGGGCATGAGTAACCCCGACCACCACTCCTCGCCTCCGGTTGATGGGAAGGCGAGCCCAAAGTAGCCTGGGGCTTACAGCTTCCCACACCTCACCGCCACGCTCCCACGCCCCCTTCATTCTTTTATTCAGAAGAGCCACTCCCTGTTGTTTAGTAGTCTCCTGCCCCGAGTATAGGACTGTCCACCCCTCATAGTGGCAGGAGCCAGAGCCGGTCCACCGGACCTCCTGAATACCACAGAGATCCAGGCGGTACTGGTCCAGCTCCCCACAGAGGAGTGGCAGCCTCTCCTCTGCAGTGAGCGTTCGAACATTCCACGTGGCCATCCGTAGTGGTTTTTTTTTTGTTTCTGGAGGAGCCCCGAGGGTAAAGATTCGATCTCCTGGCTCCGCCAAATGCCCCACACACCTACACACACACGCAACTTGTACCGAGACACAATGCGACCACAACACTTTCCAAAATTTATTCACCCAAAGCTAGTTTCTTTTTTGTTCACTCCACAAAATCCACACGCACACACGCGCGCGTCGCAAGCGGGGCTTGTTCTTGGGGTTTTCACAGAGGCATGCCTTCTTTTATGCTCATGCAAAGAGAGAGAGAGAATATATAACGCGCCACGTTATCCCAACAACAACAACATCATCACTCCCGCCCGAAACCCCCCCCCCCCCGGGGATTGAGGCTGGGGGGCTAGTGGAGGAGACACTCTCGTACACCTAATGTTGGATCGGAAGCCGCTTTGGGGAGGGTAGTGAGTCCGTACCCCCATCCTTCTATCCCCCCCCGCCTTGTCCCCCGCTTCTCATAACCCGTCTGCAGTGTTCCACGGGGTGCGTGTATGTGTGTGTCTGTGTGTGCGTGTCTGTGTGTGTGTATCTGTCTGTGTGTGAATCTGTGTGTGTCTGTGTCAGTCTGTGTGTGTGTCTATGTTTCTGTGTGTGGCTGTGTGAGTCTGTGTGTGTGTGAGTCTGTGTGTGTGTCTGTGTGTGTGTCTATGTGTGGCTGTGTGTGGCTGTGTGAGTCTGTGTGTGTGTATATTTGTGGTGACGATACCCATCGGTCATGCAGCCCCCCCTCCCTCCCTCTTTAGAGACCCACAGAGGCCCACACAGATTAGCACGGTTGGCTATGTACGAAAGAAGTTCAACACCGAGACCCACAGACATGGGAGGGTGTCGTGGGTCTTGTCGCGACACGGTAGCTGGGTAGATGTTAACTACCTCGCCCGGTATACAGGAGGTCGTGGACTCGATCCCGGGGCGGTGGTGGCGATGGTGTGGGGGTGTGTGGGGTGCTAGGGGGGGCTGGGGGGGCTATTTTGGAGTTCAGAGGTCGCGGCCGCAGTCGGGGCACAGGATGTCGTCGCGCTCGGTCAGGAAGCCGCGACCCACCAGCGACACGGCGCAGCGCTTGCACGTGAAGCAGTCGTCGTGCCACTGCCGCTCCTCGAACGAGATGTACTTGGCACCGCCCAGACCTGACACCGCGCGGTAGTGACACGCGCAAAGGGAGAGAGGGGTGGAGAGTCAGAGGGGGAGGATGGGTGGGTGGTTGGGGGAGAGTGTCAGGTGGCAGACATGGAGAAATCCTCATGTTTTGTTCCCTCTATCCTTCTATTTTAGGAACGAAACATGACGATGCCGGGTGTAATGACCGTGTTTTTGTACCGTTTGATGTTGTAACGTTCTTATTCTGTGCCCCTACTGGAGATCTGCGAACAAAGAGCTTTATAACTCTTTGGATTCCTCCTTCAATATAAACAAATATTCTGAATTCTGATGAGTGGGTGCATGGGGCATGCAAGCTGGCAAATGTGAGCGGGGCGGTGTTGGTGAGTGGGTCGGTGGGGTGTGCGAGTGGGGTGGTGTTGGTGAGCTGGATTGGTGAGGTGAGCGAGCGGAGTGGTGTTGGTGAGCGGGTCGGCGGGGTGAGCGAGCGGGATGGTGTTGGTGAGTGGGTCGGTGGGGTGAGCGAGCGGGGCGGTGTTGGTGAGCGGGTCGGCGGGGTGAGCGAGTGGGGCGGTGTTGGTGAGCGGGTCGGCGGGGTGAGCGAACGGGGTGGTGTTGGTGAGTGGGTCGGCGGGGTGAGCGAGCGGGCCTGTGTTGGTGAGCGGGCAGGGCAGGGCCCTCTCGTCGCCTCACCGCTGATGGGGCTGGCGCAGGCGACGCAGCGCTTGGCGTAGAGTCCCGAGAAGCACTCGAGGCAGTAGGGGAAGTCGTCACGCGACGTGAAGCGCTGGCCCGCCAGGGCGCGCTTGCACGAGGTGCACACGAGGCACTCGCGGTGCCACGGCCCGTCACGGTACGTCACGCCACCCGCTGTGATGGCCTGGGGAGGGGGGGGGAAGGATGAAATCCATACCTTATCAGTACCCTACCTTATTACAGACCAATTCAGACCTTATTGGTCACCCCGTGCTCCTTATAAATCTCAGCGTTCGTCCTACAAAGTCCCATAAGGGAGAAACACAAACAAATAGGCAAAAAAAAAAAATTTGGCCGTATTGAAATGGCTGTATGCCGTATGGAAATTCAATTTCCCTGTACAAGAATACGGGTAAACCGTATGGTTTGACAGGTATGAAAAACGACCCCGACAGCATCGGGAAAGGAGAGCAGGGGAGAGACACATAGGGTGATTAAGCTGAAACTATTGAACTAAACTCTCTTTTTACTTTACCAGGTAAGGCCCCACTCAACTGCTATGTGGTTCTTTTCCGAAGTGACCTGGCGATCACAAGTGATAGCTCAACGAAGCGGCATATCGTCATCACGTGGACATTTCTAGCAGCAGACAAATACTCTAAATGCGTGACGTTGATTCCAAATGTGGAGGGGAAAAAAAACCGAAAGACCCGGAGAAGATTCCACGCGACCACGGGGAGAGATGCAAACTCCAAATATAAAGCAGGCATCAGGGCCAGGATCGAACCCATGAACCTCCTGCAAACCATTGCGAGGAGATAGTTAACATATACCTAGCCAGATGTCCAGTATTTTACACCATTAATACGCCATTCGCATGAACCTCAAACCTTGTATACAAACCCGCCTTTCAAACTCAGTAATTATACTCGAGAAATCCAATCAGCTATAAAGCTATTTTTTACGAACAACCAGTGGTTTACACCGTTGATATCCCCCCATTCATTTACCATGAAACACAAACCCTCCAATATTAAGTGGACTTTTCACCATTAATACGCCATTCCCATGAACCACAAACCTTGTATACAAACCCAGATTTCATAAATGAGAATCTGTATTTATAATGCCAAAATCCGATGAGCTATGAAGCTCTTTTTCGCAGACGTCCAGTAGTTTACACCGTTATAACCCCCTTCCCCCCACCCCATTCATTTACCAAGACCCACAAACCCGCGAATACAAAGTCGACTTTTCAGAATTTTGAACAGGAAGTGTGAGTGGCGGCGGCCATTTTATTTTATGCCGCTCAACTACGTTGCTAAGCGACGCCCTCCCGTCCCGCCCACCCCCCCAATCTCCTCCCCCCTCCCCGCCCACCTTCTTGCAGAGGGTGCAGTGCTGAGCGAACTGCTTCTCGTAGCACGGCACGCAGTACTGATCCTTCTCGCGCGGCACAAAGCTCTTGCTGCCGATCGGCTGCTGGCATCGGGCGCACCCGAAGCACGTCTCGTGCCAGCTGCTGCCGCGGAACTCCATCTTGCGCGTGCCTACCGGGTTGGGGAGCAGTGCCGAGTTAAGCTAGTGCGGGACCCGTAGCATTTGTTATAAAGGCGCCCTAAATAATAATAATAAACACTTAATATTACAACACATTTTTAACTTGCACAGTAAAGTTATTGTATTTTTTCATTTGTTATACAGCCAGATAATAACTTAAACACCCAATCGTTCATAAAAGTTGAATGCGGTATAGTACTACTAGCAATAGAGCAAGTGCAGAATTACTGAACCGGAATAAATAGCTTGAAAGCGTTTAGCGCGGGGCCCTTGAAAGTGCGGGGCCCGTAGCATTTGTAGATACTTTTTCCACGAGGATAATCCGGCACTGGTTGGGGGTTCGGAGGGGAGGTCGATGGAGGGGGTGGTGGTGGTTAAGGGGTTGTGAGCAATAAAGGATTGGCGGTCGACGTTGATACTAAGATTAAAAGAAAGAGTTTATCATGGGATGTCCTTTGCCAGTATCAAAATGATTCCTTGCCAAAGGTTTCTGTTTGGTGTTTTAAAATCTTAACGCCTGTTTTACTGCCAGAAAGGGTACAACCTATTATTGCGAAAAGAGTTAGTTGAATAGATTAGCTTAACCACCCCACGTGTCTCTCCCCTGCTGCCTTCCCCCAACGCTGTAGGATCGTTTTTCATATCTGTCAACCCCATAAGGTTTAGCCCGTATTCTCGTACAGAGGAAATTGAGTTTTTAGGTCCATACGGCATACATCCGTTTCAATACGGGCATAAAATAAACAAATTGTCTTTCTCCCCTTGTGATGGGACTTTGTAAGATGAACGTTGAGATTTATAAGGGCACGGGGTGACCAATAAGTTCAGAATTAGTCTGTAATAAGGTAGGGCACTGATAAGGGGTGACAGGTATGCATATTCCTGAACGGGAATTGAACTTGGGGTGCCTGGTTCGTAACACAGTGCGCTAACTGCTACACTACCGCTCCCCACACGTACACTGCACACACACGTGCACACATACACACGTACACACACACACGTACACACACACGTACACACTCACGCACCGGGCAGCACGGGCTTGTTGCAGGCGGCGCACTTGGCCGAGTATTGGTTGGCGTGGCATTCGGTGCAGAGGAGCTTCTCATCGCGTGCGCTGAACGCTTTATCGGCGAGAGAGCGCTCGCAGGAGGCACACTTGAAGCATCCCTCGTGCCAGTGGCGGTCCTTGTACGACAGGTCCTGTCCAGGGTGGGTAATGGTTGGGTGGTGGAGGGTGGAGAGTGAGTGAGTGGTGAGGGGTGGGTGGGTGGTTGAGTGGTAGGTGGTGGTGGGTTGGGGGGTGGATGGAGGATGGGGGGGGTGGAGGTGGGTGGTGGGTCGTGGGTGGAGGGTGAGTGGTGGGGTTGGTGGGTGAGTGAGTGGTGGGTGGGTGGTGGTGGGTTTGGTGGAGGGTGGTGGGTGGGTGGAAGTTAGCATCTCGCCACAGCCTCGCCCCGAATGGTTGTGTTCAATGGCGGAGCCAAGATTTTCAGGTAGGGGGGGCAACCCCTCCAGCAATGAAAAATGATAGGAGTTGTAAGTAAGGACTGTTTAGACGCCGCACCAGGTACTCATTTGAGGCTGAGCAGACCTAGGGGAGGAGGCCCAGAGGACCGATTCAGATAATCGTCACTGGTGGTGGCCGTGAGCGGGAATCGAACTCGGATCGCCTGATGATTTTGCTTGTAATCACCAGCGAAACGTCACAGTACTCCAATTGTAAATATTGTGGTACACAACCGGTGTGTGCTTAAGTAGTAACGAATCGGCACGTTTTGTTAACGTGGCAAACCTTACTAAATGACCGTGTGGCGAGTTTAACGACATATTTATAATTACATGACCTAACCCAGGCTTTCGCGACCAATGAATTACATTGGTCGCGAAAGCCTACATGCTTTCTGTAAACTATAAACAATTTTTCTTTTACGAGGTAAGGCCCACTGAGCTATGTAGCTCTATTTCAGAAGTGACCTGGCCTTCCAAACTGATAGCTCAACGAAGTTGCTTATCATCATCACGTGAAATGTATAGCAGCAGCCATATTACTCTAAACGCATGACGTTGATTCTCAATGTGGAGGGGAAAACCGGAGGTACCAGGAGAAAAATCCACGCGACGCCCGGGGAGAGAGAGAGACACGCAAACTCCAAATATACAGCAGAAAGCGTCAGGGTCGGGGTCGAACCCACGACTTCCTGCATACCAGGCGAGGTAGTTAACATCTCCTAGCCACCACATGGCCGCCCTCAATGTGTCCCAGTTGAGCACCGCCCCCTCCCCCGAAAACACGTGGGTAGCCTTTGATTTTACCTTCGAGTCGCAGCCAATTGGCTGCTTGCAGCTCTCGCAGGCGTGGGTGTAGAGCGTCTCGTAGCAGCGCACGCAATACGGGTTCTCCTCGCGCAGCACGTACTTCTTGCCCAGCAGAGACTCCTTGCAGTAGTGGCAGTCGTAGCGTTCCGACGCCATCTTGATGACGTCACCTACGGTTCAAACAATGGCGTCGCACGGCGCCACGTGTGCGCAGCACGTGTCACTTAAGTCCAAGTGCAATGTGCAAAAGGCCCTGCCGGGTGTGCCCCTTTACTCAATGCGGGTCAGAAGAGGACCCTTTTGTGTTGTTGAGGCTTTTTTTTGTTGCAAGGAAGAACTCATTACTTTCTAAGAATAATTTTCATTCCTTTAAAGCTGATGCTTTACAAACCAAACGAGGTTCTCGTTTAAGACTGAGTCGACCTCGGTTTTTTTCCCCCTCCACGTTTGGAATCAACGTCATGCGTTCAGAGTTATTTTGCTGCTGATGTAAATGTTCACGTGATGATGATGATGGTAAGCCACCTTCGATCAGCTACTATAATTTGTAATGACCAGGTCGCCTCTGAAAAAAGAGCTACTTAGTAGCTCTATAGGGCCTCATCTGGTCAAATACAAATTTGAAATAGTTAAAAAATTAGTCGAGGCCAGACCGGTTCAAATATTCACTGCTTGTCGCGAGCGGCAAACGAACTCGGATTTTGGAGCTAACTGCTGCGCCACCGCTCCCTGCGTAAAGTATGGTCTTTGAGCAGCAGTGGATTGACAGAGAGACTAATTGGCGTACATTTAAAGCTGAGCTGTGACGAATCGTCACCTACATTTAGGGGGAGAGATAGGCTCTCACTTTCAGTGAATTGACCATAATATCCGAAGGGAAGGGGTAACCTTAGATTCCATACCTAGGCCACATAGACAGGTATTGAGTGTGCATGTGAATTACTATGTGGACACCGGTGTCGATTATGTTACGTGTGTACGTACGTATGTATGTGCATGTGTGTGCATGCAAGTCATGGAAACGAATGATGGCATTATGAAAAATAAGAATAGGTTTTACCCTCGATGGCAATAAAACAGGAGTTGTGTTAAGACGTTCAAACACCAAATATATGAAACCTTTTTGCAAGGAATCAAGTCTGCATTAACCACACACAGGACTTGTGGTGAACATGCAACCATGGCTCTGATAACATATGCATTGTCCTCGAAACGAATTGGCCTACACGAGATATAAGCCAACTGATTGGCCTACATCAGTTTCGAGGACAATGCATAAGTCATCAAAGTATGTTCACCACAATTACTTTGTGTGGTTAATGTAGTACTATATTCACGTGAAATATATCTATTTGTTGTTTTAACATCTTAACACCCGTTTTATTGCCAAAAAGGGTAAACCCTGTTCTTATTTTTCATACTTTGATACTGGCAAAAGGGTCCCATGAATGATGACATATTAGTAAATCAGAGCTGCAACAACCGACTAGTCACGAAACATTACGGAAAAAGAGTTTTACGGCCGATGAAACGTCACTGATAGTGTTTATCAAACCAAATCCATTGTCTTAGGATCTTTTGGAGTGGAGGTTGGGGATTATTTTTCGGTGCGTTTGACTGATCCTCAATTTTAAAAAATGACAATGTATATTTCGCACCGTACGTAACCAACCGTGCTTATCGGTAACCTACAACAAATAGAGCACGAGTTTAGTTATTGAAAGTTTTGCCGCGACTCATAGCGTGATTTTAAACGGGGCCAAATCTCCCCCCCCGCCCCGCCTTATAAAATGTGTTAATTCTCGATTACAAACAACAAACAAACAACAGAAAAAACTCGTGCGGTTATTTATCAAGGCAACGTCAAACGACACGTAGACGAGGCGGGAACGGGGAGAGAGGTGGGGGGGGGGTCATTGCAGCTCTCACATAGACGTGCTTCTACAAAAGGGGCAGCCAAAACGTTTGGATAATGAATCAGATGTGCGCATCATTTAGAGCAGTGGTTCTTCTTCTTAACCTAGGAGTGCATCTCGCACTCCCCCCCCCCTTTCTGGTGGGGGGGGGGGGGGGTGCGAGACATGGCCAGATCTTTTTTTAAAGGTAAATCATCAAAACACAAATTAAGCGCGGGCCACGTAAGTGCAACTTAGTTGCATTGAACCCTATATGCATTAACATTACACTGTGTTTTTACGATTGAGAACCATAGGGGTGCAAGGCTGCGGTCCTGGTTAGGAACTACTGCTTTAAAGTATGATCGGGTTAAGAGGTGCCACGGTAGGCTAGGAGATAACTACCTCGCCTGGTATACAGGTGGTCGTGGGTTCGATCCCGACCCTGACGCCTGCTTGTCAGGTCGCTTCTGAAAAATAAGTTCATACCTCAGTGGGATTTGCCTGGTAGGATGGGGATGGTTTCGTTGTATTTGTTTCTGTTTGGGTGATTTGTTTACCTTTCTTGTACTTTGCACTGCTATCATGTGTTTGTACTGTTTGCTGTTGGGACGTTCAAACCCCGTGTCCCTACCTGGACATGTGTGAAAAGAGCTGTTTCGCTCATCGGATTCCTCCACTATTAATAAAGATTTTGATTTTGTATATTTGGAGTTTGCTTGTTCTCCCCGTGGTCACGTGGATTTGTATTCAGGTTCTCCGGTTATTCCCCTCCACATTTAGAATCAACCTTACGCGTTTAGAGTATTTGGCTGCTGCTATAAATTTCCACGTGATTATGATGATGATATGCCGCTTCGTTGGGCTATCATTTGCCAGGTCGCTTCTGAAAACAAGATACATAGCAGCTCAGTAGTGGACCTTGTACCCACCTGGTAAAATAAAAATAAATCGTTTAGTTTGAGTTTAGTTTCAGGTCGTCTTAGATGGATACCACTAACTCTGACCAACTTGACCTGACCATCTAATTAGACTTTCGCTCGTTCTCATATGGGCACCACCACTCGTAACCTTCTTCTGTCCTTATCTTCTCACGTCTTACCGGAGACATTAGTGCAGCCATTACAGAGATCCGTCTCGTCTTAACTACTACCCAATCAATCTTGATTTGAAGCTTTCGTGACTGCAGGAATCCATACTCTTTGCTCATCAGGTGGGACGGACGCTTGTGTTGCGCCCAAAAACGTCGTGATTTATTGTATTTTATACCTACGTGACTTTACCAAAAGAACCAAAGAGTATACTACCCAATCCTACTTGTTTAGCACCTTCTGAACCAGGTGAGAACCCCATGGAGACCAATCGCCTCTTTTATATATTTAAACACACACAATAGGAGGGGGGGGGGGGGGTAATTAGTTTAATGTCAAATGTTTTGACTGCCCGGTGTATCTACGTGTTGTCGTATATGAATGTTAAAGTGTGAACCGTTAAAGCGTTTGAATAGGCACACACAGTAACGGAAGTCCGATCCATCCGCCGCCATCTTGATGACGTCACGCCGCCCCCTATAGAAACACAGGGTAAGTGTTTCTGCATTTGTATAACTTTTTTTCGTAACTTACTCTCATCAACTGCTGTATATCTCGACTTCTGTTACGAGTGCCGAGGTCATACCTGTCAACCCCTTATCAGTGCCTTATTACAGACCAATTCAGACCTCACTGGTCACCCCGTGCCCCTCACAAATCTCAACGTTCATCCTACAAAGTCCCATCGCAAGGGAGAAACACAAAACAATTCTACTAAATTTCCCTGTACAAGAATACAGGTAAACCGTATGGGTTGACAGGTATGCGATGTTAACCACCGCTGTGGCCGCGGCTACTCGGCTCACGTTTCATTGACAACGTTTGTTTGGTGACCTCGCTGCCTGAACCGCACAATCGACGCAAAAGAAGACTCAACTCGACACATTCGTCAAAAGCCGCGCGCTCGTGCGTGCACGCGTGGTCTTAAAATAGGAGGAGAAGGAAATATAAATATATAAAACAGGCGACGTTCCAGGGCAGTGGCCATTTCGCATGACATGTTGGCAGCAACGTTCGCAGCACGTGTGCCATGAAGAAGTCACATTCGCCGGGAACGTCGCCTCACAGTGCCGATTTATCGGCGGACGCGTTGAGTTTTCTTTTTCTTTGGGGGGGGGAGGTGGTGGTGGTGGTGTTATTGAGAGGGGTCCACGTGGACTCGTAAAATAAATTCAAGTGGCTCGTTGTAGCAGGGCGACGTGAATTAATGTCTCCCGTTGAACGTGAATATAAATGAATGACGACGTCTCTGAAGGTTGTTAGGGGGGGGGGGTGTTGTTGTTGATGTTGTTCTTAGTGGGATCTTAGTGGTCAACTCTGAGGCATCTGCCAGTCCAGTGGTGGTTTGTATTTAATTTAACATTCAAAGCTTTTGGTGGAGCGGCGATTGAGAATGTTTCTAGAAAGGTTGTTGAGGTCAAAACGTAGTAGGGCTTTGCCGACCAATGTTGTCCATAATAGAGGTTTTAGTTTTTTGGGGGGGCTTAGATCGCGTAAATATAAACGTGTCGTTAGACCCGCAGCCACCCGATGCAGCCGAATTCGTAAGGTTTGTCACAGTTCTGTCTATGGCCTGATGATGCTGCTTGTTGTTGTTGTAATTAGCAGCGAAACGTCACGGTACTGGAATTGTAAACGTTGTAGTGGGTTTACTCTCCAACACACAACCGGTTAATGCTGAACTAGTAACTAATTGGCCACGTTTTGTTTACGTGACAAATCTTTGCTGTGTAGGGTGGTGATGGCGCGTTTAATGCAACGTTGATATTTATACGATGTAACCCAAAAAACTTCTCTATTACTTGATTATTGCTCTGGTGGCGCTGGTACTAATTCAGATGCTAATGATGATGCTGCTGATATATATGTTTGTCGACCTCCTTTCGCACTGTACGTAGCCAACTGTGCTAATTAGAGGTGCGGGTGGAAAGACAACACTCCCTGGGGCTGCGAGATGTCCTTTCTGGAGGTACGAGACATGGCCAGATTTGTTTTTAGAAGGTAAATAATCAAAACACAAATTAAGCAGGGGACACGTAAGTAACAACTTTCTTTGTTTCATCAAACCCTCTACGTATGTATTAACATTTTAATTTGTTTTAACCATTGAGAAGCAAAGGGGTGCAAGGCTGCAGTAAAGGTTAAGAACCGCTGGCCTAGAATGATGACTTAAAAGCGGACAGCTCCGAGCAGCTTCCTAATATCGGAAGGGGAAGAGCGTTCCAGACGGCCGCCGAAGCAGCGAATCCGAAAGCGCCACGCAATTATGCGGAGGCCGACCGTCTTCCTTCGATGGCTTGAGCCTAAAAAGCCACTGCTGCTGCTATGAGGATATTAAGGGAACATCCCTCGAGATTCGTAAAACATTTCTAAATCTGGAGAGCACACGTTCTTTTTTCCTCGTCATTTACCCTCCCCGTGGGGCTACGCGAGATGCGTGGTGTCGATAACGAAGCAGGATTATCGGTGGATTACTCTCGAGTCGCTGCGGTTACGGGAGTCGGAGGTGAAGGTTAGGGTCAGGGTCGTGTTGACCTGTCCAGCGGCTCAAGGCGATGGCCGTCGCAACGACACGTGGCACGCACGCGACACGCAGAAGGCTATGCGCACGTGGGCAATACGTGCATCCGTAACACGTGTGTGTGTAAATTTCGATTTAAAGCTTTCGTGACTACAGGGATTCATCTTCTCGGTTCTTTCGGTAAAGTCGTCACGTAGAAGGGAAGTAATAAAATAATAAAAATAAAACTTAATAAAATCATTCTCACGACGTTTCGGCCACAACACAAGCAGCCGTCCTCAGGTGAAGACCAGGTCTGTCGGGGAGACAGCGTCAGACGCTTTTTTTTATTTTATTACTTCCCTTCTACGTGACTTTACCGAAAGAACCAAGAAGAGGTGTGTGTGTGTTGTATATGCTGTATGTGTGTGTGTGCTTCTGTGCATGTGTGCTCACTAACAGCACTTGCTGTAGCAATTAGCGCTACGCTGCGCTATGAACATGGCGACCCAAGTTCGATTCCCGCTCACGGCCACCAACACCAGTGAGGATTATTTGAACTGGTCCTGGGTCTCCCCTAGATCGACTCAACCTCGAATGAATACCTGGTGCGGTGTGTAAACATCGCCACTGGGGAGACAAAGGCGGTCGGGCGTGGTGCTGGCCACCCACCCCCTCGTGTGCCGTTCCGGCCTTCATAGGTGCTGCTCGCTAACAGCACTTGCCCCAACAGTCTGTTAAGGCTATACGGGGGATCTTTGTCTTGTATGTGTTGTGTATGTGTGTGTGTTGTTTATGTGTGTGTTGTGTGTGTGTGTGTTGTTTATGTGTGTGTTGTGTGTGTGCAAATGCACAGCATCCATTTAGCGCAGGGGTCGGCAAACCTGCGGATCCTGAGGGGGGAGTCCAGTTTTTCCATGGAAGTCCAGTTTACCATGGGAGTCCAGTTTTTCCATGGAAGTCCAGTTTACCATGGGAGTCAAGTTTTTCCATGGAAGTCCAGTTTACCATGGGAGTCAAGTTTTTCCATGGAATTCCAGTTTACCATGGGAATCCAGTTTTTCCATGGAAGTCCAGTTTACCATGGGAGTCAAGTTTTTCCATGGAAGTCCAGTTTACCATGGGAGTCAAGTTTTTCCATGGAAGTCCAGTTTACCATGGGAGTCCAGTTTTTCCATGGAAGTCCAGTTTATCATGGGAGTTAAGTTTTACCATGTGAGTCCAGTTTTACCATGGGAGTCCAATTTCAATGGGAGTCCAGATTACCATGTGAGTCCAGTTTTACCATGGGAGTCCAGTTTTACCATGGGAGTCCAATTTTCAATGGGAGTCCAGATTATCATGTGAGTCCAGTTTTACCATGGGAGTCCAATTTTCAATGGGAGTCCAGTTCACCATGGGAATGGCTTCGTGACCGTTATTTATTGAGGGACCACCACCGTCCCCTCGCATTCACCACCACGGTGCATTGCCCGCTCTTTAAATATTCAGGGGGAGGGGGGGTTTGGTTATTTAATTTTCCGACCCCCGATAGAATGCTCACTGATATTTGTACGCACACACACACAGCCAGCAAGCAGTGTGCATGCATATTGCGAGCAGGATACACACACACACAAGCATGTACTCACGATGTCGTTTAAAACACGTGGATTCTATAGACAAATATCCCCCCGTATAGCCTTTAAACGGACTGTAGGGGCAAGTGCTGTTAGCGAGTAGCAGCACCTATGAAGGCCGGCACAGCACACGAGGGGGTGGGTGGCCAACACCACGCCCGGCCGCCTTTGTATCCTCAGTGCCGCACCAAGTACTCATTTTGAGGCTGGATCGACCTAGGGGAGGCCCAGGGCCGGTTCAAATAATCGTCACCGGTGTTGGCTGTGACTGGGAATCTAACTCAGGTCGCAGGGTTCGTAGCGCAGTGCGCTGACCGCTACACTACCGCTCCTCACTACTCAAATATACACACAGATAAACACAACCACATATGTACACATATACACACGCCATATATAAAAAGACAAAGATCCCCCCTACAGCCTGAACAAACTGTAGGGGCAAGTGCTGTTAGCAAACACCTCTGAAGGCCGGCACGGCACATGAGGTGGGTAAAACAACGCCCGGACGCCTTTGTCTCCCTAGTGGCGACGTTTACACACCGTACCATGTACTTATTTGAGGCTGAGTCGACCTAGGGGAGAACCAGGACCGGTTCAGATAATCGCCACCGGTGTTGGCCGTGAGCGGGAATCGAACCTGGGTCGCCAAGTTCGTAGCGCAGCGTAGTGCTAACCGCTACACTACATAGCACACACACATAAAGACACACGCATATACACACGTACATACGTGTATACATAGTAATGCATATACACACACGTACACTATACACACACACACATATAAGTACAACACACACAGGTACATGCACGCATATGCACACGTGCAGATACATGCACACACATTCAAAACGCATTCATACGTACAAAATTTCGCGCACGTGCGCCATATATTTCCTACGAATAGGCGCATGCGCACAAGCACGCGTGCTTCGAGCACGTGGTCGCCGCGTGCAACGAACACGTGATCGCCGCGTGCAACGAGCACGTGGTCGCGAGTCGCAGTGACGCGTGTGTTTTTTTACCTGTGACGTCACGCGCTTTCACACCGCGGCTCCGTCTCGCTGTGTCTCGCGCGGGCTCCTTCCCGAGCGCCCTTTTATCCTCTCCCTCCTCCCCCGCGTCGCCTCCCCGCCCGCCTCTCGCCTCGCCCCTAAGAGACGGAGTTGAGATATGGAGTGCCTGGGAGGGAGGGAGGGGAGGGAGGGGAGGGGAGGGAGGTCAGGCAGGTGCCTTCGCCTCTATGGTGCTGGTAGCGCAGCAGCAGGGGATCTGGTGATGGGTTTTTGAGGGTGATTTGTGTTTCTTGTTGGTGTCTATGAACACAGTAACACACAATGTGACTAATGTTACACGGGAAACCCGCGTTATATATTTGATTAAAAAAGGGAGCACATAAGCAAACAAAAAAAATACAAAAAAAAACGACATGATGAACGAAGTAAAGTGCCGACAGAACGAGCATCTTTCTCGTCTGATCGTTAAAAAAATTAACCCGTAAAAATAAAGTTTTTCACTATAAATCCTTTATATGCGTGGCATCGGTTTCATTTTATTATTCATTTCTGTTTTTCTTGAGTAAGAGCTTCATTTTTATCACATTGGTATTTTAAATTAAATATGAAATATTTTTTTTCCTAAAAAGTGGAAAATTTTGGAAAAAAATTTTCACTAAAATAAATTGTCACGCACAACGAGTCTGTGTGCAAAAAGTCAGCTCGATTGGATCACGGGAAGTGGGTTAAAAAAACGACCGAAAGATTTGCACGGTCGTAAGCGCGCAAGCAAGCAAGCAAGTGAACTTAATATAAAGGATTTAAAAAAGGAGGGAGGGAGGTGGGGAGAGTGGGAGGGGAGGGGAGGGAGGGAGTGGAGAAAGGGGGGAGGTGGGGAGGTGGGGAGGGAGGGGGTGGTTGTGCACAACCGAGGGGACGTGCGAGTGATGAAAAGGGAAGAGCGATGGAGTTTTCACGGCAGAGTGGCGGTGATGGTGGCATGAATCAGCGTGGTGGTGGCTTTTGGCTGGCCATCGCACGCTACACAATGCATTGAACGCTACACAATGCATTGCACGCTACACAATGCATTGAATGCTACATAACGCATCGCACGCTACGCAATGCATCGAACACTACACAATCCATTACGCGTTACACAATGCATCCTACGCTACAATGCATTGTATACTACATAATGCATTGTATACTACACAATCCATTGTGTAGTGTATAGTGTAGTGTATAGTGTATTGTAGAAAGTAGAAAGTAGTGTATAGTGTAGCGTGTAGTGTATAGTGTAGCGTGTAGTGTATAGTGTAGTGTATATTGTATAAAGTATTGTATAGTGTAGCGTGTAGTGTATAGTGTAGTGTATAGTGTAGTGTATATTGTAGAAAGTAGTGCATAGTGTAGCGTGTAGTGTATAGTGTAGTGTATAGTGTAGTGTATATTGTAGTGTACAGTGTAGTGTATGTGCGTTGAACTTTTTTCGCACCGTAGCCTCGCCAACCACAGTAATGGGAGACTCGTTGGGGGATCGGAACCATTCGATCGAGGCCGTGTGTGCGTGCGCCCGTGCGTGGTGGGATGGCGAAGCTAAAATTACTCGCGTCGGCTGTGGGAGCGTTGGTAACAGACCGGAGATAAGTAGCGAATGTAAAAATAAGTGGATTACGGAGGTATGCACGTATGCGTGCGTGGACGCGCCTCGAGGAAGTCTTGACTTCTTCCCGCATCCTTAATCCTCCGACACGAGTGTCAACACTTGCCCATCACACATGCAGAGAGAGAGATGTGTGCGTGTGTGTGTGTGTGCATTCATAGTGGGGAGCGGTGGTGCAGCGGTTAGCGCTACGCTGCGCTACGAACCTGGCGACCCGGGTTCAATTCCCGCTCATGGCCAAAATCAGTGACGATTATCTGAACCGGTCCTGGGCCTCCCCTAGGTGGACTCAGCCTCAAATGAGTACCTGGTGCGGTGTGTAAACATCGCCACTGGGGGAGACAAAGGCGGCCGGGCCGTAGTGCTGGCCACCCCCTCGTGTGCCGTACCGACCTTCATAGGTGCTCGCTAACAGCACTTGACCCAACCAGTCTGTTCAGGCTATACGGGGAGGTGTCTTTGTGTGGGTTGTGTGGGGTAGTGTTCGGGGGGGGGGGGGTAGAGAGAGAAAGTGAGTACCCATCATCACCAGGGCCTATCCCTCTACCGCCGCATGTCCGTCGTCGGAACGCCGGGGCCTAATTGAGGAAATGTATCCACGTGGAGCTCCGATGGGTGGTGGCCGGGGCGTGGTGCTGGCCACCCACCCTCTCGTGTGCCATAGCGCCCGGCCTTCATAGGCGCTGCTACTCGCTAACAGCACTTGCCCCAACAGTCTGTGAAGGCTACACGGGGGATCTTTGCACGAATTGTAATCCGGGGGGTGAAGTGGTTTCATTGGGCGGAAAATCTACGATCCCACTGGGATTTTTGCACACAACGTTGGTGTACGGTGCTTTTTCTGCAATATTTTGCTGTCTTTTCGTGGATTTTCTGTTTGCACTTTGAGATGTTTTCTTGTTCATGTTTTTGTTTGTTGCGGTTGCACCCGATTCAAGAGTCGAATGGCTCACAGGGCTACACCTAATACATGAAACTTGAAAATGAAAACGATGACATCAATGGGCCGCTCCATGGCGACAGCGAGTGCGCTTTCCACAAGGGCTCACTAGAGGGCAGATTCCGGAAGTCACGGAGGTCGGCTCAGGACACGACAGTCTGGGCGAACCCGCGAGAGAGCACGTGACCGCACGAGGGGGCACCACGGGGGCTCCCCAGAAGGGGGTGAGCCAGACCACGTGATATGGGCCTAAACTCTTCGCGAAGGATCGAGAAGGGGGGCGTGACCAGGGGCCGAGCCCGACCACGTGACGGGAGATGGAAGTGAACAGGGCTGTTCAACATTCACAATCGCTGCCCGATGCGGCAACCTCCCCCCCCCCCCGCCCTTCTCGGGTCAATATAAAGTCTGATTCTCTCACCTGAAGGCGGTCGCTTGTTGTTGCGATCGAAACGTCGTGATCTACGATTATGATTTGAAGCTTTCGTGACTGCAGGAATCCATACTTTTTGGTTCTTTCGGTAAAGTCACGTAGAGTGTCAAATGAAATTAATCTCGATGTTTCGGGCGCAACACAAGTGCCCCTTCCCACCGGAAGATGGACGCTTGTGTTGCGCCCGAAACGTCGTCATTTATTTTATTTTATTACTTTTTCTACCCACGTGACTTTACCGAAAGAAGCAGAGAGTATGGATTCCTGCAGTCACGAAAGCTTCAAATCAAGAAGGGATTCATATTCTTTGGGTCTTTCTGTAAAGTCACGTAGACAGAACAATTATACACGTATATAATAGCCCAGATATGTCCTTCTGTGACTGTGATTAACGCCCCCGGATTGGTTGAAGTGCATCACGTGACCGCGAGCTAGCAGCCAACCAGAGGTGCGCCCCTCCGAAACATGTACGCCCCCAGATTGGTTGAAGTGCGTCACGTGACCCAACAGTCTGTTACAGGCTACACGGGGGATACGTACGGTGCGAAAGAAGTTTAACATACACACACAGAGACCCACAGACACCCAGACCTATAGAGACCCACAGAGACCCACAGACACCCAGATCCATGGAAACCTACAGAGACCCACAGACATCCAGACCCATAGAGACCCACAGAGACCCACAGACACCCAGACCCATAGAGACCCACAGAGATCCACAGACACCCAGATCTATAGAGACCCATAGAGACCCACAGACACCCAGATCCATGGAAACCTACAGAGACCCACAGACACCCAGACCCATAGAGACCCACAGAGACCCACAGACACCCAGACCCATAGAGACCCACAGAGACCCACAGACACCCAGACCCATAGAGACCCATAGAGACCCACAGAGACCCACAGACACCCAGACCCATAGAGACACACAGAGATCCACAGACACCCAGATCTATAGAGACCCACAGAGACCCACAGACACCCAGATCCATAGAGACCCATAGAGACCCACAGAGACCCACAGACACCCAGACCCATAGAGACCCACAGAGATCCACAGACACCCAGATCTATAGAGACCCACAGAGACCCACAGACACCCAGACCCATAAACACCCACAGAGAACTATAGAGGCCCATAGATCAGCTTGGTTGGCTATGTACGGCGCTGTTTGGGAGCACCTACGAAGGCCCTGGTACAGGGGTAGATAACCAACACCACGCCCGGCCGCCTTTGTCTCCCCAATGCTGATGCCGTCCAGCGCACAACCACACCAGATACTCGTTTAAGGCTGAATCGACCTAGGGGAGGGCGGGGGAGGGGTGGGAGCTTCCAGGAGCCGGCTAGAATATTCGCACGCGTTTAAGGGTTATTTGGCTTCCGCTATAAATGTCCACGTGATGATGATGACGACAAGCCACGTGGTTGATCTGCTATCGTTTGTGAAAGGCAGGGTAGCTTTTGAATACAGTCTAGTATTAACACATTCCTCCTGCGGAGGGAGCTGGTAAGAACGTTGGGTTGCTCGGTCAATGGCCAGGGTCAACGGCGGCGTGGTGTATTCCGCAAATATGGCCGACTGTGAGGGCGGGCACAAGCCGGCGTGAGTAGGTTAAACGTTGAGTTTTATAAGGGCACCACGGGGTGACCAGCCCCTCCCCACCCAGCCCCACCCCTACCACCCCCCACCCAGCCCCACCCTCCCCACCCAGCCCCTCCCCACCCTCCCCACCCAGCCCCTCCCCACCCTCCTCACCCAGCCCCTCCCCACCCTCCCCTCCCCACCCAGCCCCACCCCTCTCACCCCCCACCCAGCCCCACCCTCCCCACCCAGCCCCTCCCCACACTCCCCACCCAGCCCCTCTCCACCCTCCCCACCCAGCCCCTCCCCACCCTCCCCTCTCCACCCAGCCCCTCCCTCCCCACCAAGCCCCTCCCTGCACGACGGACGGACGGACACAATAATCCCCTGTGGGCTGGTGTAACCAGGAGGTTCCTACCAGTATAAGAGATACGTAGCATCTCAGTTGGGGGCCCTTAGCTTGCAAAATAAAAAATCGATTAGTTTAAGTTATATAAACATATTAATAATATGTTGACATGGAATGTTGGACCCCCTGAAACTGCATTCCCCATGCCACGTGGCTGGCACGGTGGA